CCCCCCCCCGTCTTGGCATCAAGTGAGCGTATTCCCACGGCCACAGGCTTTTCCTCCACGCCAGGCCACAGGTTGACGCTAGTCTCAAATGGGACTTTTGTTGCTATTTTGTTCAATATCATCCATCTAGACACTCTCGCTGCGGTCGCTGTGGAGGGGAGCCGTTTTTGGCTCCCCCCCCCCTCAACCATCATACTCTCTCCATTTATAAGTCCCATTGTGCCAACTGTGTGCTTCCCTGCTTCCATCCTTCCTCCCATGAGCATCTCTCGCAGCGCTTCCTGTCCTTCCAAAGTCCGTCCTTATCCACGAAACTGCTGTTATCCTCACCTTCTTTATCTCCTACTCCAGGCTTTCCTTTGTTTGCCAGTTCCCCGCGGGCTGTGTCGACCATGGCGCCTCGCTCCTGACCGGTTGGATCTGACGACAAAGAGGATCAGACCGATGCCAGCTCTGACCTGACTGAGATCTTTGCAGATTACAGATCTGATAATGACTCCACCAGCGACCCGGAACTTGATAGTGAGGATTCGGATGATGATGAACCCGGCGACAATGCCTCCAATGATGAGGGTCAACTGCCTCCCTGGCAGATATTATTGGTATATTGGTGTCGACCCGGTACAGCACTGGGCAATGGATCTCAGACTTAGATGAGACTGTCCATTTCCTGTGTGCTTTTTTTTTTTTTTTTTTTTTTTTTTTTTTTGGCTGGCAGTGCAATATCCATCACAGCAAGAATGGTCAGCACTGCCCAGGCATTGGATACAAGAGCTCACTTGAGTCATTCTGGAAGTGGTGGCATCTTGTTCTGAAACAGGAGACGGTGTCAGGACTGAGCAAAGATATAATTGTCAAGGTGCAGGATGTGAGTATATAATTCCCCTTCTGCTCTGGCCAAAGAAGGAACAGCCGCCAATGGATGCGTAGGTCATTGCCATTGTCACCAAAGAGAAAGGCCTAGAGCTCGACCAGCAGCCAAAGAAGAACATGTATATTGAAGATGTTGCCAACTTTGCACGCGTTCTCTTTACCACTACTGAGATGATGTTTGACTGTGGCTGGCAGCATATTTAGATCCTTTTCTTCTGCCAGCTCGCAGCCATCACTGCAAGCCATCCAGGGGCACTGTCACAGTTGTATAAACAGCCTGTCGCAGTGGATGTTTGAACCCTTTGTTCTCTTTGTCTATGTGACGGCTCACACATGATAGCTCACATATAACGGCCCAACACCGCATCAACGGATGATACATCACAAATGCCGCTATACAACCCTGCCACCAACAACCCCTATAAAAAACCTCTTCATTATCCAGATAGATTTCCTTTTCTCTTCTCTTCTCCAGATTCGATATTCTCGTCGATGGCTACAATAGTTTAGATAGGAACATTGATTCAATATTATCTACTATTCCGAGCCCGTGACAGTCTAGGGCTTCAACCCCCAGGACACACAGTAAATAGTTTCGTTGAGAGAAGGCTCTGTCTTCTTCTCCCTTTCCTCATGCTAGAATTCTGATAGAAGTCTACCAATAGATTGTTATTGATTGAGGCCGTCACAGGCATTCCTCCACCTTCACTATCAGGACATAGCACTCACCCTGATCTGAGATCCAGAAGGCAAGACACCCTTGGTTGTTTATTTTCTTGAAGCTGGACTTTACGGAAGTTCTTTGGGAAGAAGGCTGCATAGGTGTTCTTATTCTTGTAGCTCCTTGGGAGCCGATCAGCTGACAGAATTGGATAGGAATGAGTTTAAGATTCGAGAAATCATCTTTGATCTGACTCTGGTCCTCGGTCTGCATGTATGCTTGCTGAGTATGCTCTTTTATAACAAAGGCTTCAAGAAGATTTCTACAACTGGGCCAGTGCCACGGGCTCGGACCAGCAGATACTAACAAAATGATATTCTTATCTGAACTAGTGTAGCCATCGACGAGAATACCAAATTGTAGCTTCCAGTACCTCAGTTAGGAGGCGAGGATTTCCTCCACCTCCCACTCATCTTGATCATTAACTATGATGGGTGGTGGCGCTTCCGTCTGCTGGCCAGACAGTGGTTCTGTGGTAGTAGCTTTGCGGAGATATTCAGGGTTGATCACAGGGTGAACCTTCATAGAAGCTGGCAGTTTAATGCGGAAGGCGTTCCCTTCTTTTGCAAGAACCTGAAACGGGCCTGCCAACTGGTAGTCAAGCTTCTTGCTGGGTCATCCAGTGTTCCAGTTCTTTGTTGATACCATTACCACGTCTCCAATGCCAAAATCTACCTCTTGTCTGCTACGGTTTGTGACAGCTCAGCTCAGCGCCTTTATCGGTAAACACGATGCATCAGCATGGCAAACAGCTACTTAGCGGGGCCACACAACCCCTATAAAACATCTTCGTGTAAATAGTCTTTCTTATTCAGATCCAGAGGCTTCAGGACCACCCTGACGATTACTCGAGTGGCTCCGCGCTGCAGAAGAAGAGAAAATTTTTGATGAACATCCGGAGGATAATTACCCGATTGCTAATGACTGAGGACAGCCGTTCGTTAGGGGGAGTAATGTCACGGAACATCAACACTCGCTGGCTGTATAGAATGTTTGGCTACTTTGGCCTGTTTGGCGTAGGACATTCACTGAGCGTCGCTTGAACTCCTCGCACACACTAGATAGCTCGTCGCCGACAGGCCTGCCTCTTTTCTTTCCCTCCTCATGTTAGAATTTCGCGAGATAGTATACTAATAGATTCATATTGAACGGGACCGTTACATTAATAACCTATCTGCAGCAGACTTAGAAGACATTGCAGGTGAAGAAAGTCATGTTCAACATTTGCGGGCGCGGTTGATCAAGGAGATTAAGGATCTAGAGGCGGGAAAGAAGGTTCCTCTTTAAAGTGGTGTTTTAAACAGAAATTGTCTTGAACTTTTGTTGCAGTTCTTTCCTTAACCAGCGTTTATCGTTGCGATACGGCAATCCCTTCTGATGATGCTATAGTAGCTACGTACGAGGCAGCTGCTACGTAATGGGAATGTTGCATGGCACACGTGGACTTGGACAATCTAACTGGCAAACGTGTGCTGGCCTTCGGCACCTCACTGGCCTCTGTCTGACCATTATTTCGCATCACCAATCATGGATGAAGGTGCAGTTGTGGCCAAATCCACATGAACTCCTTAACCACGATAAACAGTGGTCTCTCTTGAATGAAGATTTGGATGGTGAAGGCATTACTGGATAAGAGATTGGGTGAGGTGGTTTTATAGAAAATGACTGGGTTGTCAGCCAACTGAAAAAAGCGGCCGACAAAAAATTGCCAGATACGTAGTTCCATATCATGGGCTACTCATAATTTTGGTGTAGTCTCGAGAGGTTCCGAACAAGTCACCGCATTATGTTAGGGCTTAATTCCCGGCCCTTGGCAATCATCATCACTGCAACGGGTCGCCGCTTCCGAACAGCTCCTATTCATCACTCAGTACTTGAGCGAGAGCAGGTTAGTATCGTTATGCTTTGGAGGGCCTGTGCCACAATTATGATGCCCTTTGTTTGAATTGCCGTGCCACACACCTCGAGTCATAAGGCCGTCGGCCACCAAAAACAGTGTTCGACATTGCCGATCTTATCGGGCCGATCAGCGAGGTGTTTGGTGACCCGTGTGTAGGTGAGTGCCTATGGGAGGTCCAGGTGCTGAACCCAAAAAACAACCATCTAGCTCTACTGTGTTAATCGGAGATATATAGTATCTAGTTTGACTTTTCGATTCATTCGTCGGGTATCAAGTAATTGTATACCAACAGAGGTAATTCAGAAATCTCAAAAACACCATCGCTATAGTACATATAATCCATGATAGTCCAATGGGAAGCTCCTAGTGCTTGCCTCCCTTTCCATGCTTCTTCCTCTCGTTCGCCTCCTTTGCCTCCTTTGACTGCTTGTCGCTCTGTTCTTTCTTCTTTCTCGCATCTTCCTCTTCCTGCTTCTTCTTGTCTTCGACATTAATGCATTTTTGGAAGGTATTACCGCCCTTGTAGACATAGTCTGAGGTCATGATAACGCGATAGGAGCCGGATATGCCCTCTGTAGCCGTGCAATCAGTACGGGTGTTTCTTATGACGAAAGGGGGAGACTTACTTCCAGAGTAGACTGGGCTGGCCAGGGGGTATTCATATAGGCCGCTGGCTCCAGGAAACATCTTCCCGCTGTCATTTCCGTATGGCTTGGGATAACTATATCCCGGTTTCTTCTGATCCATGAGTCCGTGGACCTCTCTCGCCTTGGAGATGGAGGATCTGAGAATATCTGCTTTGAAGACCTTGCCATTGCAATCAGCCTTACCAGCAGTCCGTGTTAGAGTGAACTCTTACTTATTTGGCACCATGGACCCTCTCACGAGGTTGTTAAGACTGGGCTGTGCAGTTAACCCTGAAACACTGCCCCAAGGCCAGGCGGTCTCAGCGGGCCGATCGGAGCCAACGGTACATATATACAAGCCACACGACCTCTCCCAATTCTACATATTAAATCCTTCGACATTCAAGCTTGGAGTGATTATCTGTATAGTATTCGATTTCTATTAATTCCGTCAATTTCTCTTACCATTTGTTGCCATCCCTCTAGACTCAAACCACACCATCATTATGGTCGATGAATACGGTGAATATGCCGAATACGACCCGGATTTAATACTGACTCCCGAATTCCAACTTCTCCAAAACCTCGTCAAGAACCCTAATGCCTCACCCGAAGAAGCGGTTCAGCAAGTTGTGGAACTTACAAAAACAGAAGCCTTAACTGGTAAATGGCCCAAAAATACAATCGGTGGAGATTTCACCTGGAACATTAGCCACCTTGCTCTCGATATTGCAACAAATACCAAGCCTGAGAACCAGCTTAATCTCCTTGACTTCCTGGGGAAGCTTCAGAAGGTTGCAGTCATGGATCCAAGGACAGGAGAGCAGCTGATGCATGATCATGAGAAGTTGTGGACGGAACTTCCATGTGTTGGTTACTATTCTTCTGACTTGCAAGACTTTTGTAAGTATAAATTTTCTCATATTGATCCTTAGTGGCTGATACAGATATTATTAGCGCATTTTACTCAACATACGCCTGAGGAAATAGAAAAGTGGGAGAATAGAAACACCTTTTTTGCAAGGGCTACGGCTACGTCCAAGCCCTTTGATGATAAGTCTGACAGTTTCGACCCATTGGACTTTTCTCTCCTTGCATACTTTGAATTGAATGGCGCCTTTGAGCCTGAGGATATTTATGAAACGGCTGTGCGGACAGTATGCATATGGTATATACATGCGGCTGAGAAGCTGTGGTATAATTGCAGGATGGGGAGGGATTATACCAATGAGAATACCCCTGACAGAAATTTTGATCTGAACAAATGGGAGTTTTGGAAACGGGAGTTGATCGCTGCGAGCGGTGTTTATAAGGAAGGTGGGACGCAAAAGTTGATTAAAGAGGCGATGGAGTGTATCAGTCGTGTGGATGGCTCAAATTAAATATTCTATTGTGAAGCATCCGGTGATATTTACTGCATTAATCACTACTCAGGGTGGTTGCATTTATACCTAATGCTGACCTTTCCTCATCATCTCAGATGGGAGTGAAAGCCATCCTTGACTGGGAATATGTGAAAGCGTTGAATACCATTGTACCTCATGTTAGCTTTGATGACTGGCGGCCTACGTGCCGACCTGTGTAGGTGTATGGCCTAGTGAACACGCGGTTGATCTTTGTGTACTATCTACTGCTGCAGGAATAGAAAGGTTCCTCTACTGCCAGTATCCCCTCGCAAGTAGTGCCTCCTGGGTCTCCGGGCGCAACTCCACGAGACCGAACTTATCCAGGCTCCGAAGGCAGCCAATCACCCACTCTTGACAATTCCATGTGTAGCTCTCGTTGTCGACGGGCTCATCCTGAATCGAAAATGGAAAGGGAAAGCTCCCAGGCTTCCGCAGAAATCATCTACAGTAGTAGTAAATTCCTCAGGTTTTTCGCGGCCGTGGGCTGCATGTAGCCTTCTGAGCTAGTGTATCCTGACATAGTCAACTATATACATGTGACTTTCATATTTCTTTGGTGTGTAGTTGATGGTTGATTGGTCGGTGGCCTATCGGCTAAGATAACTATATAACTGCACCTAGAATGCTACTGTCTTGCGCGGCGTCTTTCAACCTACCTTCCTTACCTTGAGGCCCTGCTCCCCCCAGCATTTCCGAGACGTTATTAAACGCGCTCCCAACCTTCCTTCGAAGCTCTTGGCGCAGTTCACGCAGTTGCGGGCAGTCTATAAGTACATGAACCACTGTTTCCTTGACACCGCATTCGCATTTGTTGTCATCCCGGAAGCGGTGCAGCTCGCCATGGGTGGTAAGCTACGAGTGACCGGTGCGGAGCTGAGTCAGTAAGTAGGCTCGATTCCGTGGCAGCGAGCTGTACAGCCAGCTGGTGTGGTTTGAGGGCAGGGCAGCGTCAATGCGGCGGAGGTGTCCCCTTTTCTTGGAGGTTTTCCATTCTCGCTCCCACTCCTTGATGATTCTGTTCTGGATATACCCTTTCTCTCGCGAGAGAAGGCGTTGGAAATGGTGCTTCTGGTCCAAACCAACTTCTTCCTTTGCCAGACGGTCTGCTGCATCATTACCGGGGTCATCACAGTGGCCCGGAACCCAATGGAGCCGCAGGGGGATCCCACGGGCTTTCAGCTCTCCCGCAGATTGGAGAATTGCCTGTATTATTATTATTATTTAATCAAGTTTGTTGTCCATACCGAGCCCTAGAGCTATGACAGACCATAATTCATGGACTCGAGGCCAGCAGCTATTCTACAGTCTCTTGTCCACTGATCCGTTGGACAACGATATTCGATGGTTGTTCTCTTCATGTTCCCCACGTACGTTGCGTTCCAACCCGTTGAAGTGGTACTGGTACGAAAAGTCGGTGCCCGCGTCTTCTTCACGTCCATAAGTTGCCCTCCTCTGGGGTATTACAGAGATTTGCCTCGGATTTGTCAGACATTGGTACGAACTCATCCCTCTGCGTCCTTTATTGGGCGCATTCGAAGGCGGCATGTTTCCAGCAGCGCTGTACATGCTTTCCTGCTGGTACCCACGCTTTGAACTTCAGCAGCGAGTTGCTCTTTTCTATTTCATTGGCACATTGGCGTCCGCGTTTACAGGAATTCTTGCCTACGGAGTCTCTGAAATGGCCAACTTAGGCTATGGGCCAGAATGGTGGGGCGCAACTAAAGAAAATGGCGGCACAATGCCCGGAATCGCAGGATGGTGATGGATTTTTATCATATTTGGCATTCTCACATGTGTCATCGCTTTAATATATTCAATTTTCATTGTCGACTTTCCAGAGGTTGAGGCAAAAGGAAGAAAACGCTGTATCGGATTTCTTTCTGAACAAGGTATGGCCTTTGTCATATCTGCCATTCAGAAAGACAGGAATGACACATATGCGGAGGGTTTCAGCATGCGTGAGTTTGTCAAACACCTCGCTGATCTCAAGGTATGGGCACATGCCTCCTTGTTTGGATTGACAACAATCACCAATTACGCGGTGGTGTATTTCTTGCCTATCATCCTCCAAGAAGGCATGGATTTCTCGGTCGTTGCATCACAGTGCTTGACTGCTCCACCATACATCCTGGGCTGTCTCTGGATGCTGGTGCTAGGGTGGCTGTCTGACAAGCTCCGACTTCGGTCTCCGTTTCTGATCCTAAACTGCATTTTGTGCATATTTGGTAAGTGAGTATCAGTCTATTAATTGATCTGTTCTGACTTTGTTTACAGGCCTTTCCCTGTTAGGCTACACGAAACACATCTCCAGCCGGATGGTAGGTGTCTCCCTTGTTACGTCTGCTGGGTCTGCGAACCTCTCATCCGCGCTTACATGGCAGGCGAACAACGTTCGTGGACAGTGGAAACGCGCAGTTACTTCTGCGCTTGCTGTAGGCGCCGGTGGCGTTAGAGGAATCGTGGGCGGCACTGTTTTCCAAACCGAGGATGCCCCAGAGTACCATCCAGGGGTCATTTCTACTTTACTCGCCAATAGCCTAATGGTTTTCATAAGCTTGTTGCTCATCCTCAAATACAAACGTGCAAACAAGAGAGCTGCGTCAGGTGGGAAGCCAATTGAGGGACTCGCATCGCTTAGGTACACTTTTTAGGTTGAACCGTGGCATATAATTCAACGTTTGCGTGGATACAATGCGTGCATATTGTAGATTATTTATCTTAACTAGGAGCTCGCACGTCGTCTCTATTTCTGAAGTCTCTTCTTAGAAAACAGTAAGTTCTCTTGGCATTGAGACAGCAATGGATCAATATGATTGTAAATAGATACAGTGGATAGCAATTATTCTACTGTTTGACAATGAGCTGACTACCGTAGCCTATTTACTATCTACTCTCGGCAGTACGGCTGTGTAAACATAAAAATACCGCTTGACTACACAAACGGCTATGACCACGTTAAGAGGTCATGAAAGGTATTACATGTCTAGCACGGCTTAACAGGTTGGCATAGTTTCTCGGTTAATGTGCACAGACTGTGTATCTACCGCAGTGAGCATGTCTGCCGAATACCGTCATTATTGGCATCGCTAGCGGTGGCCTCGGTAGAGTGCCACTTTATATTTAACCACATGCGTTCGACTATGCTGTAGCACAAAATTATCGAATCATTCTTCTGTGGTTGATTCCTAAAAAAATTCCAGATATCAAATTCAGTTCTCCCTTCCGAAAAGCCGTGCCAACAAAATCATGGCTCAACAGCCCTCTGACCAGGTGCTCCTAGGAGCTCAGATGAGGAGAGAATTCATGGGGAAGAGTTATCATCTAAATTGTAAAAGAATGTCGTAAGTGCCATTCGAAGATTGATCTCATATCAAGGCAGGTGGCTGATTATTCCTCAGAAAGATGATATCTTTAGCAACACAAGCCGGGAATATATTGTAGAGGTCTGCTTTTCGAGCTATGCGCGTCCAGGCCTGAAGTTTCGCGACCGCTCTTTGATGAATATTGCGATCCTTACAGCCCTTAATAGAGGACCAGAGCTGCGTATACATATCACTGCCGCACTTCACAATGGTCTTACAGAAGAGGAGATATGCGAGGCCTGCAGACACACGATGGTTTATTGTGGTGTTCCCGCCGGCAGGGATGCACTTTTAATTGCGAGTGATGTTGTTAGCTCTGTGGATAATCAACGCAAGGCTTAGGGCACATTGCTGATTGCGAAGAGTATTAGCCCAACGACATTGGAAAATCAACAGGGAGTTCATGAATAAATGCAATTTCCAAATAAGGAGCCCTCTTTAAGGCTGAAAGCAACGGCTTAGAATTGGAAGATTGTTTATTCCGCGTAAAATACATCTCATATCAGTTAGTTGCCTTTGACGTGTGTAGTTGCCGTCATGCTGTTTAACCAGTGGAGCATTACAAAGCCATATAGCTGCGGAAGAGGTATATCAGGACAATTATTTTGGAGTCATACATAAGTCCCTGCCTCGAACCGTATTTTTTTCAACGACATTTCCCAACCAAAAGGTTTCACCAATATGATATGGGTTCTATACCAAGGTCCGGAGGCAGTGGCAACTGGTCCATACAGGAGATGGGGCCCATAGGAAGGGTAGACAGACATACCACAAAGCCATCAGGCAGGCAAAATAGGAGTGCTGGGAGGCCTTCCTCCAAGGGCTCAACCCCCACAACGCCAGACGACTCAGCCCGGTGCTGATTAGCACTCAAGTACACCAAACCCCAGGACCAGGGGGCCACACCTGCCCTTTACCGATCACTAGAGGACAGGCAAACAGCCACCACATTCCAGGAAAAAGAGGCTATAATTAGAAAGGCTGCATTCCCCCAAGCCCCCCAAGTGATCGCCCAATGCAATGCCCCCGTTAGGGAAAACTCACATAGAAGCTACGGAGCAGGCAATCCAAAAGGCCCTGGAATAGGCCGCCTCAACTTTGGAGGATCCCCAAACCACCATAAAAGCCTCTAATGACTTACAAAATGTACTGTTCGATTGCAAAAGGTTTCATTTTGTGGGTGCAGATTTGAGGCTTAATTTGAATATTGCGATGGAGCGTATATGCACCGATTTGCCCGATAGACTTTTCCGATATCTACAGCTTATACACCCAAGTCTCAGCTAGTTCTGTGCAAGAATGCCGCAATTCGACGGTACATCTCGACCGGGTTGGAGTACATAGGGAAGTGCCCGCTCTCCGGAATCTCCGCGAGCTCCACGCCCTCCCCCTCCCTCTCTCCCCTCTCCACCCATTGAATTTCCTTTTTCTGCCAAAGGCAGCACCTCATTTTGGGCAGACTCCCGCGTGGGAGTATCGCCAGTGTGTATGATAGAATTAGCTTAGCTACTAGATAGGCGATTCCGCTTCGCCTGTCGTATGTTCCGTTTCGGGACTGATGAAAGTCAAGGTGGATTAAGAGTCGGCCTGATTACCGAGGCCGACAGATTCCTCATATACGGACACCGTAGCCATATGCTTTAGATAGCTAAGCATTCATTCTATCGTCTATGGTGTCTATAGATGTCAATGTCATCCTCTTTTAGTGATAGCCTCGTGCAGTCCGGATAATCGACTCCCCGACTTCCCCGACACGGAGTTTAACCGCTACATTGGTTTATCCGTTTCAATCCATCACATGATGTCACCTGATCCCCGCGTCCCAAACGGGTTTAGCGCAGGCCCCTTTGGAGATCAACCAGCGTCATGTTTGTTCCTCTTCTTCCACTGACTCACTCAAACAACTCTTGACTGTGTTTGCTTGCTCTTCTTCAAAATGCAGCTGGCTTGGTAATTCAGCCATTGCGTTATTCTTCTACTTGCTGTTCCTATCTGCAGGTGTGACTCTTCTTGTTTGCCAATTCCACCGGCATCTTCTCTCGCGAACGAGTCCCTCAAAATGAATCTGTCGTTACTTGACTCTGGAGGATTTGCATTAACTTTATTCTCTCGCATATCGCGGCGTGGTTGATTATCGTGATATCACCGTACATTGCTTTCAGATTACTGAAAATGGCGTCCATATTCACCTTCGATCCTGATCCTCCGCGGGTCTCTTCGCCGTGGTCGATATCGGAGTCCTCTACGCCCCAGCCTACCTCTGCCGGTAATCGACTGGCTATTAGAACACGTTCTAGCGCGACACTGCGCAGTGCAGACCATGACTCTTTGTCTGACTATGGGATATCGAAATTGGATCCGGAGCCTCAGGAGGGTCCGACCGAATATAAGCTACATCTTCTTCTGCGGCCTCGTCGATTGTACACGTCTATGTCTACGGGACATGTCGTGGCGGGGTCGTATCACTCCCGGGCGAGCTTGTCAACTTCGTTCCCTACAACACCGTCTAGTTATGAGACCGCCATGAAACCACAGCAAACCCGGTCGACGCACAGTCGGCAAGAGCGGCTGCAGCATCTGACGACGCAGCTGCTGTGGCGGTTGCAGCAGTCGTCGCCGTTTCATTCGTCTACCGCCACTAATAATCTCGTGCTGCCTGTTCTACCTGACATGGTATCGCAGTCGGATGCTCCGCAGAGGCCGGCACGATTGCTTCCTGGGCTTGAGGAGAGTCAGGGTGCGTTGTATGAGATCGGGGTTGCGGATGATGGGACTTTTGTTGGGCTTACCCAGGACGAGCTGGAGGAGAGTTTGAGCAACTTGCAGATTATGGCGGGTAGCTTGGGCTGTAAGGTGGATGTTCTGCGAAGGGTTGTTGTTGGTGAATGTGAGTGGGAAGGCGACTCGGTCGAGTCTCATGTAGAGGATCTCTGGGTTGCAGAGGCACTTGTCAGTCCGGATCTGGATTATTACCGCGCAGCGCCGGCAGAAGGTGACGCATCTGGGGCGACTGAAAAAAAGTCTGTTTCGGAAGACGACCATTCCAGCACTGAGCAGATTCGCGTATCCATCACTGGTCCCAGTATCGCTGGCAAATCCTCCCTGTTGGGTACGCTGACGTCTTCCTCGCTGGACAATGGAAGAGGAAAAAGCAGGCTGAGTTTGCTCAAGCATCGACACGAGATTTCTTCTGGAATCACCAGTTCTGTTGCGCAGGAGTTGATCGGATACACGGGTGATTCCTCTGGCTCGGTCGATGCGATCAACTATGCGTCTGGAAACGTTGCTGCATGGGATGACATCCATGCTGTGTCGACGGGCGGTCGTCTAGCCTTTGTTTCTGATCTTCCCGGCTCTGTGCGTTTTTCGAAATCTATGCTCAGAGGGCTGATTAGCTGGGCTCCTCACTGCGTGATACTCTGCATTCCCGCCAATTGCGACGATGGGACTACGTCAGGTAGCGACAGCAAGCCCGCAGAGCAAACTACGGAAATCGACCTAGCTCTGTCATACTTGGAACTCTGCATTAAACTCGAAGTACCTATTTTAATTGCTATCACCAAGATGGACCTCGCTTCTCGTGTGGGATTGAGAAATACGCTCTCCAAGGTTCTGTCGGTGTTGAAGCTTAGCGGCAAAAAACCAGCCATGCTACCTGTGTCAGGTTTAACAGACAAGGTTGCAGGTCTCCAGCGAATCGGGACAGCGGAAGGCGGGGAAGTGAGAAAGGTCATTGACGCTATGGCTGGTGATACGCTACTGACAGTACCTATCGTTCTCACAAGTGCTGTCGACGGCTCCGGGATAGAGAAGTTACATGCTTTTCTACGATATCTTCCAGTCCCAGCGAAGCCTTCACTGCGGACTATCGATTTGTCAAAGGCGCAATCGCAATCACCCACTGGCAATGTATTCGACATTGACGAGGTATTTGCTATACCGCCGTCGAAGGTTTACTCGATATCGTCGGACCAGACGCCAAAGGAGAACCAGGGCGTTGTTCTATGCGGTCTCGTACGTTACGGTGCCATTTCGATAGGCGATGAGCTGGTTGTTGGGCCGTTATTGACAAACCCGCACTGGCAGCATGTCCGCGTTGTCAGCGTCAGAAATCTTAGACTACCTGTTCGCAAACTCACAGAGGACCAAGTTGGGACTATTGGTATTGAACCTATTTCACAGCCAGACGAACCATCACCGCACCTCGGCCGGATACGAAAAGGGACGGTTCTAGCCAGTCTGCCAGACCCAGTGCCACTTCACACCGGCTTCGTTGCTACATTCTCCTCCAGCGAATTCGCATCAGCAGATTCCCCACCATTACTTCTTGGTGGAAACGCCATCGTCTACATCGCCAACATCCGCACAGCAGTAAAAGTGACCTGTGTTGAACTAGCTGAAAACGAACTAGTCTCGACCCCGCCATCACCAGCTGAACCCGAATTCTTCCGTTTCGACGGCGATCCAGACCGCGGACAAACCAATGGCGATTCCCCTGAACGCCGCAATGCAGATGTCCAGAAGGTTATCGACTCAACGGATACCGCTGAGGAGGATGTCCATATTACATTTTCGTTTGTCACGTCCTTGGAGTGGGTAGAGATTGGGTCGAGGCTACTTGTTATGCCTGGTGTTTCAACATCGGCATCGTCTATGCCTGCGTCGGGGTCGGGGTCTGGTGGACTTTCGGGGTTGGAGGGGTTTGTGGGGAGGGTTAGGGGTGTTGTATGATGGATATGTGACTATGAGGTTATTTGCTTATGCTATTTATTTTGGACTGTTTTTCATTTTGCTTGTTTCTTTATTTCAGAAACTGCTGGTCCAGCGTTTCTTTTTGTTAGATTGCTCTTATTTCTCGCAATACATGGCAATAATGATATCCTACTTGCTCGAAGTACTGTTCTTACATTGGATTGACGTTCTCATGGCTGGCACGTGTATCCGGGGTATTATTACATAGTTGATAGATCCCTGGGTCTTCTGAATGGAGATGGGAGATAGCTACAGGCCTGTGGGTGTACAAGGGAATTCACAATTCCACCTTAGCTCACAGCTTCAACTTCGATTCCTTCATTCAATCAAATGACCATTCTCCAACGACCGAGAAGAATGACATCTCTAGCAAAACAGGGCAAGTTTCTCCAGCAACACAAACCTTTAACACCAAGAAATAAAAAAGGGCAATCATAGTTCACCATGCCGCGCCTTGAAAATCTCAGCTTTATCATCATTAAATGACACTCGCAGCCAGAACTTCCCCCCCAAGCCCTGCTCACTATCCTCCTCCTCTTCCTCCTCCCCATCATCAAACCATACAGGCTCATCCAGAACCGGAACCCCTTCATCGTCCGAGTCTAGGAAGACTTCATTGTCCACTGGGAGCGGGGGATCACTCTCGTCGTCGGAATCGAAAGCAACTGGGATGTCAGTTACCGTATTAGACATGTCATCTTCTGTAGCTGATGCATCATCATCATCATCATCATCATCATCATCATCGATGGGCTCGTCTCTGGCAATCTCGTAGCACTCATCTAGGATTCCGATGTAGGTAAGTGGGAGGCAAGGCATTAGGGTGATCATGTCCAGGAGCCGGTGGGCGAGGGTATTTTCAGTTTGGCGTATACTCTCGAGGTTATTAATTGTGCCGATGTGCAAGGCGCGGAGATTGGGAAGATTCGGGAGTCGTTGTACGAGAAAGTCCTGTGTCATTTAATGTGTTAGTACAAACGAAGATAGAATGGAAGGTTACGCACGCACCCAGTCTCTTGAATCAATGCCCATGTGCAGCTCGCAAAGCTGTGACATTTTTCTGCTTGTGATGAAAGTGAGCATTTCTCGGTTAAAACGCCACGGAGTTGAGATCCAGTGGTGCTTCTCAAAGACATTGACTAGGACTTTCTTCAAAGTCTGTCGGTGTCTACGGAGTATGAGTCGGTAGAATGTGTTGAAGCTGATACCGGACTCTCTGTGTACGTTCCCATGTAGAAATATGGCTTTGAGTGTGTTCGGCGCAAGAGTGTCCTTTATGAATGACATGAAATAAGGCGAGATGCAGTCTATGTGCAGATGCTTGAGTTTTAAGGGGAAGTTGGTGGGTGCTCCTCTTGGAGCATACCGACGACGGAGGTTTCTCCACAGTTTCTCATGTCTACCACATTTCAAGAGGGTGAGCCTGACCATTCTCGTCCAATCAATAGCTTGCATCATAATCGGGGCAGAGAGGGTAATTCGCTCTAACTCCAAGACCTCGAGGTTTAGGGAGACATCAGAACTCGGTTCCAGGGCATCAGATGTCTTTCTCAACCCTGGCAAGATAGTATCTTGAAATGAGCCTGTGAGAACCTCAAGGACACCACCAAGCTTGGGCCATTTTGAAGACGCAAGAGATGAATGTTTTGGCGGATTCGACCAAATCGCATTTTGGGCCATGCACTTAATGCTGATGCGTAAAGCTCTGAGCCGATTCCGTGAGCGCTCTATCAGCACAGCCATTTCTTCTAGATAAGATGGTTCGTCGATATCCAGTACCGTTAAACTCTTCAGGGGAGGTAAGATAGATAGGGTTGGATATTCAACACGAAGATGTCGCTTGGCCAATTTCTGGCGAAGGGTCTCTATATTTCTACCAAACAGGTCAAATGAGGAAAATTCGTGAAATCGGACCCAGACGCACCCCAGACGACATTCGTGTCCTGGACGATCTGCTAATGATGCAAGTGCAGGCCACGCATATTTCATGGTTCCTTTCGACGTGTTCCAGATAAATTTCTTCAGATTAACCATTTTAGGCACTGTCAACGCGATCATTTTGCCTTGCACCCTGTCTAATTTCATAGGATCCCAAGAGTGGTATAGACCGCAGTCAGCTGGATCGTCCAAGACAGTAAATTCTCGGGTATATTGGGCATAATTATTTCCCCGTCTTAATTTTTGCTTGAGCTTGGCTGCGGGTTCCGGTAGTGAACACTTCTGAGGCCGCTGATGAGAGTCTGATTCTAATTGGCCTGACTGGAAAAGATCCTCGCCCATGGCCAATGTTGCCAGAGTAGAGAGTGTAGGGTTTACTTCGCTAGGACATTGCAATTGGTCCGAGCGAGTTGTACAAGGGTTGACCCATACAACCGCGAGCTTGGAATATAGCACAGGAATAACCACCGCATGAAGAATGGAGCAGGCAAGAGCCATTGATGCCAGATCATTTTGTGATGTAGCCTAATGGGAGTCAGTCAATCATGAATCGAGACCAACTAATTCGCGTACCTGGTCGGCAATCTCTCTCAAAATTTCTGCTGGTAGATCGAGCAGGTTATTCTTGCATCTTGATTCCACCGCATCTTCCATTATCGGCCGCTGGGATGAGTTCATTGTACTCCGTAGTTGTAGGTATCCGGGATTATTTTTCGTTTCTCAATCCTGATAGTCGAAGTGTATGAGAAGACTGGAGGGCGCACACCGATTCTGATATACCATATTCAACTTATTAGTTTACTTGTAAGTTTTAACCTTTTTACAACTGCCTAATAATATCCGGTTCTGTACTCCGTTTGCGTGAAGGGCGGCAGCCTGCCCTGGTGCCTGATGTTTTGACACCTGAGTCTCCCCCAAATGTGACAAATATGTGACGATGGTGATGTTTGTTCGGATACATGTAGACGTGCATATCAATATCATAGGGCGGTACATAAATCTATCATAAAAAAACTAATTTCCAAAACCTAGAATCTAGAAAGCACTTAGACTAACGCCTCTCAAACCTCAACGGCAGATCATCCCTCATTCCCAGCGTCAAAAATGCCGAACTCTCCTCCAGCGCCTTCTCAGCCCTCTCCCTCGCCCCCTCATCCCCCGCCAACCTAACCCTCCACCGCCAAAAAACAACACTCAGCGCAGCCACAAACTCCACCTCCGCAAACTTCTTCCCCATACACGCTCTACTCCCATCACTAAAAGGAATGAATGCGTCGCGGACGGGCTTATGCACAGTTTCAAAATCTAGTCCTGCGACGGATAGCCCCTCGACGCCATCGTTTTTTGCGAGGAAGCTGGCTGTGTTGCGTTTGTCCCAGCGGGATGGGGAGAAGGTTGTTACGTCGGGGCCCCAGTATTCGGGGGAGTAGTGGAGGGCGTTTGCGTTTAGGGATATTGGGACGTTGGGTGGGAGGGTGTAGGTGATTGAGGCGTGGGTTATGGGGGCGGGGGAGTGGGAGGTCCATTTTGGGAGGGTTACTACTGGGGGGTAGAGGCGGAGGGTTTCCAGCTGGCCATCTATTAGCGAGTGTTTATTGAGATGAGGGCGAGAGGGTAAGAGGGGGAGGATACCATAACGCAAAGCGGAGTGGTCAACTTAGGAAACACCCGGGCGTAGTCCCATTTCGCTGGATCTTCAGGCTCATCGGCAACAGCTTCCCTAATACCCTCGTACAACCAATCCTGGATATCCTGATGCATGGCAAGCAGTACAAATGCGAACTGCAAACTCGTCGAAGACGTCTCATGTCCAGCAATCGTGAACATGAACAAATTCCCCAGGATCTCCTGATCTGACAGACCAGCGCCGTATTTCGACTTTGTGCCTTCGTTCCCTTGTTCTTCTCGTCGCGCGCGAACTAAACCCGCTAGGAGGTTGTGTGCGTTACTTTCTTCTTCCTGGGACATGGTGATGAGTGCGCGGAGGTATTTGCCTAGATTGTGGTATGCTTTTAGGGGTGTTTTGAAGAACGGTCGAAGGATGCGAGATAGCCATTTCGGGAGGATGCCAACGGCTAGGAAGATTGAGGTTAGATTGGGGCCTATATACTCCGCTACGGAGCGGAATGTAAAATCATAGCCTGGTGGTGGTGTAGCAGAATCTCTGAATTGGTCATGCACAGTTTCCTTTTCTATTGTGTTTCCTAGGTATGGTTTGAAAGGGAGATGTACACCGAATCCCGCACCGCAGAAGATGTTAAGGGTTAATTTTGTGATGTCGTTTTGGAGGCCAGGGATTGTGAGATCGGAGTTGGGATCCTTGGTGCTGGAGTATTGGTCTACCCAGTGGGCTATCATTTCGATAGTTTGACGGATGCTTTCTTGCCAGACTAGCGCGTTGTTCTTTTCGTTGAAGGAGGATTGGGTGTAGCGGCGGTGGCGGGTCCATTCTTTTTCTTCGCTCTATTTATGTTAGCATGTTCTTTGTATCTCTATATGGTCTACTCACAGTAAGAACATTCGAGCCATATATCTCCATTCCCTCTGTTATAATCAGCCCCAACCACGATAATATAATATCAAATAGGAAGACCCACCATACTGATGACTCGGCTTCGGAAACCTCTGCCTCTGCCTACAAACCTGCGCAATAACCTCTGCATCCCCAACCTGACAACTCACCGACCCCGGTGTAACAATCAAGTAAACACCCCCATACTTCCTCGTCAACCGATCCTTGACCGTCCACCGGAACTTAAACCCGCTGTCGTACACATAATCCGCCAAGTTCGCAGGGAACCATTTTTTCACTAGGCTCTGGAAGCTCCGGGTTTCGAGGAGGCCGAGCCAGAGGACGTTGACTTCGGAGACGGGGAAGATATAGTAGGGGAGTTTGATTGAGCGGGCAAGGCGGATGTTGTGGAGGAAGTTGAAGAGGGGGCGGAGGGCGGTGAGGGTGAGGAGGATGAGGGCGAGGACGAGGAGGATTATGGTGACGATAGTCATGGTGTTGATGTTGGGTAAAGAGATGTGTGTGGTTTGAGGTGATGATCCTGCAGAGGATGCCTTCTTATATGGTCTATGCCGGGCAATAGTGGTTTCTCGTATACTTCGTACACCTCGCACATCTTGTACAACCTGCCGCGACCAGCACTTCAGTCGCCATAGTCGTGTTTATCGCAACTAAACAGAATAAGCATAATCCACCATGTATACGAATGGACTAATCACAAACCCTAAGTATAAATAGAACCCCAAAATCGGAATAGCGTTTCAGCCTTATCTTGTCTTACGTCACGTGTCGTCCAACAGACGATTGCCAGAGACGATGCGCTTCATTTGCACTGCTAAGTGAGAATGGTAATTTATTTGATTTGAAATCGACATCAGTGTGTCAAGATGGACGGTCCAGTGAAGAGATCCCGAGCGAGTAAGCCCAAAGCGCGGACAGGTTGTCTTACCTGCAAGTCAGTCACCGAGGCCAACTGATAACAATAAACACTAAACAGTCCAAATGGAAATAGGGCACGCAGAATCAAATGCGACGAGGGAAAGCCGGAATGCAATCGGTATGACGTGTCATAACCCAATCATCCCAGGACTCGAACTGATAATGCATGCAGTTGTAAAATCGGCGGCAGAAAATGTGATGGCTATCTCCCAGCCCAAGGGGAAATGCTTGCAATAGTACCCAAGCAGCTTATCGATGTGTCGACTGTCACGTTGCCAGGCGAGTCGCGTGCCCTGGAATTCTTCTTTCATAAGAGTGCGCCGCTGCTGGCGGGTTTTTTTGAGGGTTCGTTTTGGAATGGAAGTGTGTTGCAGCTTAGTCTTACGGAGCCGGCTATTCGGCAGGCTATTGCGGCTATCGGGTCTGTTCATGAAGAGCAGGGGTTGAAGAGATATCAGGGTGGCAGTGGCAGCAGTACAGGGTTCGAAACTTCCGTGCAACTGTACAACCGGGCGATTCGGTTCGTTATCGCGAGGGCAGAGGTGGATCCAAATGCAATTCCCGCGGTGACGATGGCAAGTATCCTGTTTACTTGTTTTGAGTTTCTTCGCGGTAATGCTCCAGCTGCGGCATCGCACATCACCAGCGGTGTACGTCTTTTACAAGAGTGGCGCGAAAAGACAGGGACTCGACCAGTGGGCCCTTGGGGTCAATCACATAAGTCATTCGAATCACACTTCATGGAAACAGAGCTTGCGCCAATTCTGAGTCTCTTCAACCTCAACACATGCGAGTTTGGTCCCGGCCAGCGCAGCCGGATTATTCTCAATGCGGTCGACAAGCAGGGTTTTCTCGTGCTCGCTGACAAGTTCGAAACCCTCCGCGAAGCACGCGTCGCACTCGTAGACCTGGTCACCTCAACATCCGTGCTATTCGGTAACATGGACGAGAGCGTTGGTAAAGGGCAGCTCCCGGATACCAATCTCGTGAAAGTCTTCAGTGGCATCCGCAACAACCTGGATCGGTGGAAAGTCAACTTTGAGGACCTCGTTGACCGCAAAGAGGCAATGTGGGATAAGAAGCAAAGGAGCGCTGCGGACAATATCCGTATCATGTGGTGTAGTACGGATATAGGCATTTTTTCCTATGCCGTGGAAACCGAAACCGCTTGGGATGCGCACCGGGATAGCTTTGAAGAGATCCTCCGCTTATCAGAATCACTCATTTCAGACACGGATCGCTACCCGGATGACCTGTCCAAGACGCTCAGTCTGGACCTGGGATTGGTATTCCCTTTGCACGCCGTTGCCTGGAAATGCCGCTGGCCGCGTCTCCGTCGTCGGGGACTGGACCTTTTGCTTCGAAGTCCGAAACGGGAGTGGCTGCTTGATGCAGAGAGATACCACGCGCTGTTCACACGGGTCATGGAGATTGAGGAGTCCGCTCTGTCGGTCTCTCATATGGATGCTCCGGATGCAAGCGAAGAGGACTTTCTCCCACCCGAACGCGCACGCATCCACGACTTCTACTGCCAGCCCCTTCCCAATGGCACCACGTCAAATCCATGCAAGACGTATGCATTACACGCCGTGACTTTCGAAACTAAGCCCGACGGCCCACATGGGGAACCGCGGTACCACACCGAGAGTATTTGGATGCCGACTACTACCACTCGGATATTAGGCAAAGGAGAGCAGGGAGACGTAGAGGCGATTGCACCATTGATGAATCTGCTGTCCACTAAACAGTGGGCGAAGCCTGAAGTGACAGATATGCAGACGGCGAGTTTGTTGAAGGGTGTTGTTTTTGGGTTAGACTAATTTGTCGATGCCTCGATTCCTGAAGTTCCTGATCACCGATTTTTTTGTTTTCTTTCCTATCATGGCAACCTTATTTCAACCACTCTCTACTACTTGTATACATTTTTAGCATTTTGCATATACCATTGATTGCCGAATACTCTGGGCAGTCATTCTTCAGCAGTGTCGCACTAATTGATCAATTGAGTGTGTGCTGCTCCTGGAGTCTCCTGTTTCCGGTTCTTGTTTGATTGTTTATATCATTCGACCAAACACTTAATACTTCTCATTTCCAAGGATGAGCCGTGCTGCACTCCGGCGGTCGAAAAGACTCAAAGAAGATGTAGGGGAGAATTCAATTAGCAGTGGTCGGGAAGAGGATACAGATGACGACGTGTACTTGGGACAGAGAAAGAAAAAGAACATACTTGATTTACCAACAGAGATGTTGACGGAGATTCTCAACCTTGTAAGTAAGGGAGGTTTCTACTTGCAGCCGGCTCTCATGCTAATTGGCACTCGGTAGCTGCATTGGAAAGAAGATTTGATAGGGTTGTCTGAGACTTGCTCCGTTTTCCATGCCCTGGTCATGCCTGTTCTATATTCTGAACTTGTAGTTTTATGGCCTGGCCATGAACCTAATATTTTAGGATTGCCTTATTGGGACCGAACGAAAGACCCTGTGCTCTCGTTCTTGGCAATATTGCTTATGAGTGAGGAATTGGAATGGGCTCTCGCCGACGTCGTGGTCGCAAGGGCCGCAAGGATCGCCAGCATTTCATCCTACCGAAACCCGCAGCAAAGCTCAAGCAAAAGCTACTGCGGGGAAATAATTATGCACAGTTTACTAGAACAATTGAGTTTTAGAATGGTCCTCGCGACTGGGTTGCACTGGCACTGGCTAGAATGGTGAATCTCAAATCATTTACCTGGGATATGCCAAGGAGGCTCAAAGCAGATGTATGGTCTGCACTTTTATCAAGCGCACATAGTCGCTTTCAGGGCGTTTGGGTTCGATTCCATGAGAACTTTCGCAATTATTGGAATGATTTGAGCAATACAAATGCGCCCCAAAATTATAATGTTGAATATCCCACCTTATCTATCTTGCCTCCTTTGAAGGGTTTGACAGTACTTGCAATCGACCAAGCCTCTTATTTGGAAGAACTGGGAGAACGCTCACGAGATCGACTCAGAGCGCTGCGTATCGGCTTAGGCTGGCACGTTGAATAAAGAACATGGTCAAAGCCATCAGCGGATTCCTCTCACGTTACATCAAAATGGCCTAAGCTTGGTGGCGTCCTGAAAGTCCTCACAGGGTCATTACAGGACAATGTATTGCAAAAATTGAACAAGACATCTAAATCTCCTCTCTCCTTTAGTCTTATTTCTCAAGGATACCCTTCCGTCGAACACTCTTGAGACTGTGTTACTAGATGCATACATCAAAAGAGGCTCTGGTGTTGGCATGGACACGCTATACAAAATATTACTGCGTAGGCATCAATCAAGCCTCAAAAGAATCCGTATCGGCGTCAGAAAATACAGGGGTGGGGTTAAATATTTCTTGTTCAAACGGAAGATGCTCTCATTCATCACAAGTGGAAAGATGTCGCAACTTCGAGAGCTTTCTATGGGGATGTCTGGGAAAAAAAAAAAAATTATGGGTAGGTTTCTCGCTCATCTTAATACTTGTCACCAACACGAACTAATGGCGTTGAATATACAGGATTTTTTCCTACAACGACTTCCGAATCTCCCCAATCTCCATGTCCTTTACATCCACAACTTCTTCCAGGTTAGAAATGGACCAGTCGGGCGAGACAAGGGTGCCAATCTCGCCCAGCGAGTCTTCAACATCATTATCTCAATGCCTCACCTTCCACTTGTCTACATCGCATTCGAATTATGAATGCTACAAGATTACCAGGGACGAGTATAACGATGACGTACTTGCCATGGATTATCTTGGTTATGATTCCAGTGAGAGTGATTCCTCAGACGACTCTCCGCGCCGTTATCTTGGGCGTTATCATGAGAAGGCCATGTCTGGAAAGGGACAACATCCTCGAGCGAGATTTCGGTTGCGCGGGGTGCCCGAGCATGCCCAGTTGCTGCTTGGTGGGATAACTGGAATTTTCAAGGGGAGGCATGGAGTATTGCAATCTCCCTTTTCTTATCTCAGCCTTTGATTACAAGTTCATTTGATCTTATGTTTTATTGTTGAGGGTTGTTGTTACTAGAAATACCGTTTTGCCTGACATTGGGGGTCATTAGGGCTCAAGGACAATAGACCCGTGGTCGGATATCCTATTCTGTTGCTTGTCCAGAATTCTTGGATGATGTCTCATAGTATAGTGACTCTGGAACAGCGTATTAACCCCTTATGGTTATATCAATCTTATTAAATTAAGACAAAGATACCCCCCTTAACGCCATATGACAATATTCGGAACCATTCTCTCAATAAACTACACCTCCAGCATCAGTGGAAATTCGCCTCGCAGCTGTGCTACCTAACAATCTCTTTGATTTAGCTGATGTTGCAGTCTCATCTGTCGCGCTCAGAATTTCACGCCATGTAATCAATGCTCGATAGCTTCTCTAAAAGGCCCCAACAACGAAGGGGTGAGATTTGTCGGAAAGAGCGGTAGTGAGATAGTCGGCTCAGATCACACACTCTAGATGGATAAATATGCACTCGCGTGCCGTGTATTATCCGCCAGCCTCATCTTAAAAATGCACTTGAACGCCATTTCTCCCTTCAAGAAATACTCATAAACCTCCCTCCCCCGGTCCCCCTCAACATCATCCAAGACACCCTTCAACTCCTCCCGCACAATCGACCACCCACCATGTTTACCCAATCCCAAAGCATCCATCAAATACCCTATATGGTTTTGCAGCACGACATGGTGGGTACGATCCTATAGCTTGGTGATATGAGGTTGCGCCTACCGTTTGCCAAGGGTGATGTATCACATACACCCACTATATAGGTGTATCCATGTCTCGGAGATTGTTTCACATTATCTAGACAGAGACAACTTAAGCCTGTTCACTTTGTAAACTTTTCCTCCATGCATGCCCATAAAAGTATATCATCCATAGCCCAGGGGAAACAACAAGCCACAACCCAGCAATAACAGTCCCCACCCATCCAATCCCTATAATCCCCACCAGCGGCAACACAGCAGCAACAGCCCCAGCCCCGCAGAGAAACTTGTACATATTCATCCCAGCAATCGCCGTCGCAGGTCGGTACGCATGCAGATCAATCATCAACGTACTAAACGTATTATTCGCACCGATGATCGTATTGCCCAACAGAAACAGCATGGTCAGCGGCGCCGAAATATGCACATCATAGTTCATTACCCAGCTATAACCCAGCAAGGAGAGACAAGACAGGTACACCAATGGTACGCCAAGCTCTAGCCGCACCTTTTCCAGTGGAATTTGTTCTAACTGTTCGCGGGTTTGCTGGTTGTGTTGGAGTTGGATCCCGGCTTTGCGGGCATGGCGTCGGCTAGGAATCCGACTGTCCAGCGGGCTGCAAAGCCGCCGACTGCGAAGGGGATGTAGCAGAGGCCTATTTCGAGGGCGTTGAAGTTGTATTTCTGCTCGAGGAGGGCGGGGATGCTGCTCATTACTGACATGAAGCCGCAGAAGAAGACTGTGCTGCAGAGAATTAGCACACCGACGGGTTTGTTCAAGACGACTTTTAGGCTATCGAAAATGCCGAATACCGTGGAGCAGCGGCAGTTCTTCTTGCTTGATAATGACACAACAGTGGAATAATCAGGCCTTGGTGGTGGTGAAGATCGATGTGCCAACGCTAGCGAAATTGGTTTATTCCATGGCTGGGGAGGCACGCTGCCATTCCCCACAACCACGCGACAAGTCTCCCGGAGGAAAGGAGCAATAACCAGTATTATCACCCCCGCGAGAATAGCCAGGAACCAGAAAATGCTCCTCCATCCAAGGAACTTGGTCAGAATCCCTCCTCAGAGAGGGCCTACTGCCGGCCCAAGAGTGAACCCCAGAGAGACATAGGCCATGTATTTCCCACGTTCTGCTCGGGTGATGAGGTCGGATACAGTGGCAGTCGAGATCACGGTTGCGCCACTGCTGCCGAAGCTTTGAAGGCAGCGGAGGGTGATGAGGGCCGCAAAGCTGTCTTGAAGAGCCAGTCCAATGTTGACCCCGAGGTAGATGAGGAGGCACATTAGGAGTACTGGTCGACAGCCTTTTTGGTCCGATAGATTGCCCGTTAGCAACGGGACGAGACCTTGGACGATCTGTGTAGTTGTCAGTGTTAGAATGAGTGTCTGTCCAGTTCAGAAGAACCTCTCACCATGTAGGATGTGATGGTCAAGTTTATTTGGCTGTTAGACACGTTCAGATCTTTGGCCATTTCACCAAGTGCTGGGAAATAGATATTCGCAGACGCAGGGCCCAGGAAGTTCACACTGGTTGCTATAAGCAGCGTGAAGACTTTCTCTCTCTCCGACAAGACGGTATATACAGAAGGCGGAGGAGGGCTTTAGAGTGTAAATGATCGCTGTTTGCCAATTGACAAGTGTCAATGTTGGCTATATCCTTTTAAAGGGGCCGACATGCTGGTAAATCTGGCGACCATCCTGGTCTGCAGCAAGGGTTGCAGGTCCAGTGCAAGGAAGTTATTTCCAATAACTCAATTTGCATTCCAGCTAAGTACAGATCTCTGTTCACTGCATTCTATACATCACATTGGTCAGCGCGTTCTCCTTGGTCTGTGCTTTTTGATTCCTCAGCCCTGAGATCCTTACCGCTGCATTGAGAGTAACTGGATCTACCCACACAAGTAGCAATCATATTCAAGGGGCACGGAATGGTGGTAGGGCACCCGGCATATTGTGCGCGGAACCCTATGGGCGGCTTGCTTTGGGATAGCTCCGGAAGACCAAGGCCAACGACGCGACTTCTGCCATATGCCAGTTGACGGCCACATTGGCACTGTGACAAAATCCACGCCTTGTACGAGGACTTGAGGAAGCAGCCAGACACAATCCCTGGCGATTGAGGATTATGAAGTCCAACCAATTCAATTCGGGCGATGTCAGGGGGCTGAGAGACAATAAGTCCAGGTAGGCTTCTGGAATAAAGGAGCACCGTCAAGCAGCATGATGTTGGAGTTGCTACATAGCTCGCTTTTCAGAATATTTTATCAACATGTAGTATTCTGAACTGCAGAGGAAGCCGTAGTCGTAGTCGTCGTAAGTCACGTGCCGAAGCTCCGGAGTTCAGCCTCTGATGAGCCGCGATCACCAAGACCAGACCTCCAACCAAACCACAGCTTCGCGAGCAGCTTTGAGGAAACCCTGGCCATTTGACAATTATTGTGCCGGTATTCCTTACTCTTAATTTTTGAAAATATATTTCCATCTCTTCCTTTTTTGAATTTCTCGCCGTGCAATAGCAGCACGGAAATTCGCCCAAGATGAAGCTTGTCCGGTAAGTTGAGCTACGTTGTTGCTGCTGGATGATTCGCGTGTGGAACTGCTGGAGGGTGCTTTAGCATATGCATATATGGGATCGCATTGAGCTGTTCATTTTCACTCGACAGAAAATGTTGGGCTAACGCGGACATGATAGCTTTTTGATGAAATGCGCCAACGAGACCGTGACGATCGAGTTGAAGAATGGTGCGTCTACCACATCCATTCTCGCTGCCATACCTCTTTTCCGGCTCGACTAATAGACAATAGGAACAATCCTCCACGGCACCATCACCTCCGTCTCGCCGCAGATGAACACCGCCCTGCGCACCGTCAAGATGACCCCCAAGGGCCGCGACCCCATCTCCCTCGACACGATTAACATCCGCGGTTCTACGATCCGGTACTATATCCTCCCCGACAGTTTGCCCCTGGATACTCTTCTCGTCGACGATCAGCCGAAGCCCAAGAATAAGGCGCGCAAGGAAGCAGACCGTGGTGGTCGCGGCGGTGGCCGTGGTATGGGACGGGGTGGCCCCAGAGGTCGTGGTCGCGGACGGGGACGGGGTAGGGGGTTCTAAGCTGAGATTGAAGGTTGAAGTTTAAAGGGTCTCATTTGTTGTTTTCTTATCTCATTTCTATCGAAAGGAGTTCGTGTTTTGGGCCTGTTTCGTTTGTTTCTTCGCTTGTGTGATGGGCAAAAGATATAATCTCATTCTGTTTCATTGCAATCGTTGAGATGAGAGTGCTCGGACGAAGTTGAGGATTGAGTTCTCCTGGTCAAGGAGGCGTGGATAAAACCGAGAGCGAAGCGTCGTGTCTGCATCGATGAGTTGGAGGTTTGACGCAATCGGCCCCGGAATCAACGGAAGAGGAGGGTGCTCTCCGACTGAAGAAGTATCTAAACCACTACACCGTCTAATGGTATCGAGATATCCAAGAATATAATCGAGCCAGAAAGCTACCTAACTACTCGCCCCTCCATATCCTCACAATAACCAACTTCTCCCACCCCGCCTGCTTACCACTATTCCCAACTGTCTCAGCCTTCCATCCATTCCCCCATCCCCGAATCCTCTCTTTTACCTCTTCCGGATTATTTTGCCTGCAGAGCAAGACATACGCAACCCCGCGCACAGGATCCAGAATCCCCGGAATCGCCTCTAACAACCGATCAGTCGTCTCCATCCCGTCAACTCCACCAGCATACGTCAGAGATAGAAAGTACGAGTCCTGCTCGAACTTTGCTGATCGCGATAGGTCCTTCTTGTCTTTCTGTTCTGCCACGGTGGGTAACCGGGGTGCTTCTTCTGACGGGACATAGGGGGGATTGAAGAGGAGGACGTCGACACTCCCTGGTCGGAGGGGTGTACATAGGTCGGACATTATGGAGGCGAGGTATGGTGTTTTTGCTGTTGGTGCTGAGTCTGCCTGTCTCTCATGAACCGCCTTAACCGCCGTCTCCCGCGTCGCTAAGCACGCATTCCGATTCACATCCGTCCCCAGAGCTAGGATATCCCGTCGACCAAATATCAATTGCGAATTGGCAGCTACGAAGCCCAGGACAACCCCGGAGCCGGTTCCGACTTCGACGACTAGAGGTGATGTAGATGTACTTTGTGTGCTATCATCCGGTGATGGTGTAGATGTGCTGTTGAAGCGGTTTGAGAGCCATGTTGATTCGGATTCGGAGGAGAGGGTGTCGAGGAAGAGGTAGGAGTCTTCGGAGGGTTCGTAGATGGTGTCAAAGGAGACGTGGGAGGTGCATGGTGTTGGGAGCATTTCGGAGGTGATGATTGAGGGCAGACTTTATAGGCGTATTGAAACAGCTCCCGCAGCCCAAATGGTCGTTGGATGCTTGATATAAATCTTTCAATGATCAATTGAATCTCCTCTGCCAGTGTTCATTTTTCTATGGCTTCAACAAAATAAAACCAACCCCTCCCCACCGCCTACCGATCCCGTTCCCGAACCGCGGCAGTAAATCATCGGAACCCTCTTCCTCAACTACACCTTCGACACATCCAACTCAACCAAAAGCAGCAGTCAAATCAATTCGACAAGATGAGAGTCTTCTCCCGGTTATTAATGGCAACCCCATCCTCAATGGGCTCCAAGTCCAGCCTCACCGAAGCCGTCGCCCTCCTCCCACCCCTTCAACTGTACCGCCGCCTTCTCCGCGTTCATCGCAAGAAGCTCGATCCCGAAATGCGCATTCTGGGCGATTTGTATGTCAAGGCGGAGTTTCGGGCGCATAGGGAGACTGAGAATCCGGTGCATATCGTTCGTTCCTCTCCTATTGCCCATGGCCATTGCATATGTTTAGTTGGGTGGGAAGTGCTGATTAGAGCAGATCGGGTTCTTAACGGAGTGGCAGCTGTATGCACAGAAGTTGGAGGGGGATGCTTGGGCTGGGGATAAGTTGGATAAGGGGAAGTTGGATAAGATGAGTGGTGGGTTTATCCCTTCCTCATTTCGGGGTTTCCACGTTTGAATCTATGCTAATGTCATACAGATCAACAACTCGGCCAGCTTTACGAATTGATGCATACCATCAGGAGCAACGAAGAGGGAGGAGAGAATCAATGATCTATACTCAGAACTGCATATCAGCTTGATATTCCCACATACGAGCCTATCCGGCCTATCCGACGCCAACCGGACGACAGATGGTTGTTCGCATACTTTGCTCCGGTCTCCTCCCGGCCACTCTTGTGTCCGAATATAGTGACTCTTGCATTGTTGCAATTGTGTCTGTATATATATACCCCGATGGATTAGCTGCTGGTTTTGAGAGATGGCGGCAGCTTCATTTTGTACATTACCACTTTCATAATATACAAATTTTCTCGAGAGTCAGGAAACATAAAATATACCCATCATACCTCTGCACTAACACCGACGCCCACACATCATCGGAAGCAATCCGCCGGCAACCTTAACCACCATGATCGGCAAAGGAAAAACACCATATACCAGTACCAAAACGATGGCCTTTTTGTTCCTCAATCGAAACGTCTGATTCGTGACTTGATAAAACAACCGAACTGCAAAGACAGCCACAACAATTTGCAGACATAGCGCATACAGCGGTCCGAGGAGGGGACTATCCAGGATTGCCGGAATTGTGGTGAGAGTTGCTATGAGGAGGAGGATGTTGAAAGCGAGTAGGCCGCAGAGGAAAGTGGTGATATAATCTGATTGTACGGGTAGGGTCATATTGTGAGGGTTGAGGTTATGAAATTGGTGTTTAGATTGTAAGCATGTGTTGAAGAGGGTTGTACTTATTGATCAGTGATATTGCATCTCATCTAGCGCATCCTTCTCGGGTCTCCACGTCTCGGCAGTGTCAGAAGACTCCGCATTGCCCTAACATAGGTATACGCCAGCGTGGGGTAGTTTATTGAGTCAAGCTACGGCGTGCATACTGACAGTGTGGTTATATAAAGTCTAGACATGCTCTTCCGGACCAGCCGGGGTAACCTTAAAAGGGGTATGGATGAATGTGCTCTTTTAGAGTATACGGGTCAATGTCTTACACAAACTGGATTCGAATATATGTCATAATGTCAGACCTCCTCACGCCGACTTATAACTGTATCATTCGTACAAGTATCAGGATGGACCTCAAGCCCAGGTACTCCATGGGCAGACCCAGATCTCGCACCCCCAATGGCGCGAACAAGATCGAACGAACCGTCCCTTTCGGATCTCTCACCCCTAGACTTGTCACTTCCAAGACCTGACTTCAACGATATATACTGATCTCCTTTCGGCACAGATACCATGGCAGTTGGCACCTTATCCAAGGACGAGGACGAGTCCTCCCTCTCTCTCCTCGAACGAAACAAAACCGGAAAGCAACCATGTATAAGCCTCTTCCACTGCAGCACAACGGGCCCCAGCAACATTCTCCCTATAGACACAATACCACAACAAACCACCACGACAATCCTATCAGGTACAAGCCGGACAAGGAATCCGACAGGAAACGTCAGTAACCCGAACAACATGGACCAGCCCCATTGCGCTCCTGTAAGCGCTACGGTCCCGAATGCCTCGCCGCCTTTGAAGATGATAAGCACTTGGCCTGCAATAATCACAGCTTGGACAAAGAAGAAGCTGTAGTTGTGTATAATTCCATCGAGGAAGTTCCAGCCGTTGTCGACTCTTCGGGAACTATCATTTCCCTGGTGGTTAGTCTACGAAAGTTTCGATAGAGAGAGTGGAGGGGGGCTCACTTCAACATATTGAAAAACTGCATCCAGACGTATATATTAAAAGTCATCGTCTGTACCTGGTGCCTCTCCACTTTCGTGCTACAATGGAATAACTGCTCCCCCGCGTAATACAGCACAAAGACAACGGCGAGCTGGTATATGGACTGGCCAGCGATCATCTTCCACATGGCTACCTTGACAATAGGAGAGCCCCTGGGCTCTGGAGTACGTTTGAGTAGTCGACGAGTAGGCCTGTCTGTGGCGAGTGCCAGCGCCGCAAATGTGTCCATTATAAGATTGATCCATAGGAGTTGGACGACGGTGAAAACGGATGCACCTGTTCCGCCGGATAGGGCGGAGATAATGGTGAGAATACCAGCAGTGATGTTGATTGTGAATTGGAACTATTCATCTATCAGCCGGTGCTCTTTTTTAATGAGACTAATGATGTGGATTACCTGCAGGAACTTTTCTGCAGCGTCATTAACAGTCCGACCCCACAGCATGGCCTTTACAATAGAAGCAAAGTTATCATCCATCAGGATAATCGACGATGCCTCCTTCGCTACCTCAGTTCCCTGAATTCCCATTGCAAATCCCACATCTGCCTCCTTGAGTGCCAGAGCATCATTAGTCCCATCGCCAGTCACGGCAACTGTCTCCCCCAAGCGCCTCAGGTGGGACACAAGCCTAAGTTTGTCCTCAGGGCTGGATCGGGACAGAATCTGTAACCGCGGCAGGACCATGTCAAACTGTGAATTGGATAACTTGCGGAAGATTGAGCTATCCATTGCGATGCCTCCTGGCTGGTAGATACCGCATTCTAGGGCGATTGCTTTCGCGGTAAGGAATGTGTCGCCGGTGACCATTCGTACACTTACCCCGGCGGACTGGCAGTCACGTACTGATTGAGTGACTTCTGGTCTTAGCGGGTCTCGTAGTGCAAATATGCCAATTAGCACCATGTCTTGCAGGAGTTCGTCGAGGAGGTCGTTGGACTCGGTTCCGGTTAGCTTTTGTGAAGGCCAATGGTTGAAGTCACGGTGTGCCAGAGCTATTGAGCGGAGCGATTTGCCTGAGAATCCACGCAAATCTGCTTTCAAAACGTTACGTATCTCGTCCTGTAAACCCTGCGAGGAGATGACGCTGTAAGAATCCACTAAAATGCGACTGCTGCTCTGAAGAACCATTTCAGGAGCTCCCTTAAGGAACATTCGATATGAGCCAGACGAAATTCGCACAACAACGGCCATGCACTTTCTGTTTGCATTGAATGGGAAGAGTTCGACTATCTGCGCTCTTTCTCTCTCCTCAATCACGCTGTCCGCTTGAAGATTGGATTGCGCGAACTCAATTAGGGCAACCTCTGTACTGGTACCGACTAGTTGCATCTCCTTTCCGTTCCCTTTTTCGAGTGCGGTGGAGTTGAAGAAGACTGAATCCTTGATCAATTCTCGAGTTAATCCAGACAAAGAAGTCATTGCACTGCGTAAGGACACGGCATCAGCCTTGATACCAGTCCCAGGAGCGGTATTCTCGTCCGAAAAAGGTGAACAGGTGCCAACACGACCAGCGACGACAGTCATCTTATTTTGAGTCAATGTCCCCGTTTTGTCGGAACAAATAGTAGTGGCATTTCCCATGACCTCGCATGACTTAAGTAGCCGAACCAAATTGTTATCCCTCAACATCCTGGCAGTTGCATACGCCAGCGACATTGTCACGGCTAGCGGAAGACCCTCCGGAACAGCAATAACGACAACTGTGATCGCCAAAATAAAGGCATTAAGAAAACTCTTGCCCCTTTCCTTGGGCCCACCTTCAATACCTTTTAAGTGCACGAGATACCGAATGAAAATGATGAGGAAGAATAAGCCACCGACGATCAGGCCAACGTGGACGATGTATTCCGCAAGTACCCCGAGCTTTTGCTGTAGTGGTGTTTCTTCTACTTCGCTGTGCAGGGACATGAGAATTTTTCCGAAGCTCGAGTTCTCTCCGACAGAGGTGACCAGGGATGTGCCGACGCCGCTGGAGACTTTGCTACCGCTCAGCATGAATGGGTCGTAACCCGAGCTGTCGTCAATATTCGTCTTCAGAGCAGGTGTCTTCTCAATCAAGTCGGATTCTCCCGTGGCAGACGACTCATCGCATTGAACGCTGAAACCGTGTATCAGAATCCCATCGGCAGGAATCACATCCCCCGTTTCTAGATGAACAAGATCACCCACGACAATTTCATGAATAGATATCTGCTGCGCCCGCCCCGACCTGACGACTATTACATCTCGCTCCTCCTTTTTCTGGTTTAATAAGCGGAACTTGCAATCCATCTGGAAATCATTAATGGCAGTCGCTAGGACAATAACCACAACAGCAACGATGATCGAAACACCTTCCACCCATTGGACGTCGGGCTCCCCCGGCGCCGCACTGATTGATTGATAGATTCCCAGTGTCAGATCGACGTTTGCCAGAACAGTCAGAAGGATCATCATTTTATCATTGAATGCCATCCATGCGAAATGCCAGAATGTCTTGCGCTTCCTTGGGGGAAGTTGGTTTTCGCCGTATTCTTTCTTTCGAGTCATAAAACCGGGGTCTGACTTGACTGTGTCCCCTCCTCCATCTTTGAGGCCGGTTGTGAGGTCTGTTCTTAGACTGGCTGCTAGTCCGATTAGGCCGTCTAGAGATTGGAGAGCTTTGAGGTCTTTGGTTGCTGTGAGCTCGCTCAGCTGGCTCTGGGAGGCGCAGGAGATGTTAGTGCTAGTGGTTGTAAAGTCACTATCCCTGGTGATTGGCGATAATACCGGTGCTGTGGTTTTCGTTGCCTCGCCCGGCGGTACTGGAGTTATTTCGTCCATTGGGCACTTATAGCAATTGATGCGTTCCGTTCGTTAGAGTATCATATTAGACAGTCTGATAAAAGTCATGAGGCTGTATAGGAATATGAGGGCATTTAGGAGGGATCTGAAACGAGGCAGTGCTGCCCAGGATATGGTATTAAGTGACCGGTATGAATTACACTGCACTACCACAGACAGTATCTCACATGACGACTACCTCAGTCGAGAATTCCAGAACAGGAGTGCTCTCATGGACAGAATATGATGTGGTACTTGGAGTTACCCACCAAGTATCACAATAAACCTTTGATAAGGATAATCGCCAGTCGATCGACGTGGATGAACTACCCCGATGATGAGGATTTGTGAAGGTACGTAATGTTTTCTTTTCCGGTTCCCATGAGACTGTTCATGATATTTGCTAAGGTAGGTCATGGCCGGTACATCTTTCGAGATTGATAGATACAGAAGAAGAAAACGAGGGATATGAAGAACGGTGTCGGTGTTATTTTTTCATAGGCCTTTGAGATCTTTCCCAAGAGCGACGAGCCCAATTCGGTAGGTCCTGGAATCGGCATGGACAGCGGTAGTGACGAAAACGACGACAACGATGGGAGTTTTCCAAGCTTCTCAAGAATCGCAGGCTGGTGACACTCTTCAGCCAGTTTTTCTGGAGTCCTTCCCTGTGCGTCCTTTAGTTCTGTATTCGCAGCTGCATCGATCAATAGCGCAGCAGTCTCAATATTACTGTTGGAAATTGCCTTGTGAAGCGCCGTCCCAATCTCCTCCAACTCCTCATCCCCTAGCGGCCCCTTAACACCCATCTCGTTGATATCCAACCCCTTCGAAAGTAAAAACCGCACCATCTCCGTATGCCCCGACTCAGCAGCAAGGACCAAAGCACCACTGTCCTTAGTCCAAGCCCCATGGTCGAGTAGCAGGTCCACCATAGCGACATTCCCTCTCTCCGCCGCCGCAGCCAGTGCCGTTTTATACTCCTCCAGAAGATTCTCATTAGGATTCGCCCCATTCTCCAAACAACAACGGACTCCTTCAAGTTTATTCTCCACGATCAATACTCCAAGCAAATCGCCGTAACAGGGAAGAACACGGTTTGGGTCTATCGCGCTGTGCTGGATGAGGACGGAGTAACTGGCAAATGCGTCCTTCGCAAAGACAGTCCACAGGAGAGAATCCTCATATACTATTGCATTTTGCTGGAGGCAGAATGCAACAATGTCTGCGGAGTCGTGCGAGACAGCTTCTTTGAGCAGAGCGCCCAGGGTGTATCTGCACACTTCATTGTTGTTTGCGCGTCGATTGTTGATCAAGACCTCGAGATCAGCGCGACGGTTCTCGCGGCATGCTGCGAGGAGATCCTGGTAATGAGGTGCTGTTGAGATGGCTCTGTCGCTGATGTTGTCAGTAGCAGAGGGAGCGGAGTCGGTAGTGGTCATGGTGGTGGCGGTGGTCTTCTCTTCAGACGAGTCGGAAGACGAGATAGCAGCGTCCTCAGAGCCAGAGTCAGAAGCAGAAGTGGTTGGTTCTGAGTCGAAGGCAATGCCGCCCTCCATGCTGGCCATTTTGGTGATGAGGAGAAAGCGATACGGATCAACTTGGGTTAATGGTGAGTCCAGGCCACCAACGCTAGACCAAAACGGGAAGATTGTTAGGGCATGTACTTTTTGGGAAATGGAGGTTTATTCACTTCCAACTTGTTTTCTCTTGTCCCTATCACTTCACTACAGACGACCTGATCGTACATTTATTGGAGCATACTTTGAAAATTGTGAAATTCCATTTGGACTTTGGATCGCTCGCCCAGGCCTAGCAATCTGAACAAGAGCTCTACCCTAATGTGAAACAGTTTTCTGGCAAGGTCGCCATCTGTCTTATTGCTATAAGTGGAAGGACTCGTTTCTTATGGCGCTCTTGCAGCTTCAATCTGACTACCAACACAGGTTTCTAAAGCTTTTCTCGGAGACTCACTTCACTTGCCTGGGCCTCTCCCTTTTATGGGAATTCTATATGGTTACTATCAGACGCATAATTGTTACGCCAATCCTAACGACTACGGACGATATGAACCGTGGCTTGATAGGTCCTCCAGAGTGTCAGGAAGGAGATCAGATGTTTCCGACATCAAGAAGGCCGCAGGGCCGCTCGATAAAATGCTCGCGGAAGTTCGTTCTGTTTCTAGATGTAGCTACCATCTAGAGCCTGTATTATGGTTTCATGAAGGGCCATTGAAATAGAAAACACAACCTTCTTAACGAAATCGTGTCTCCGCATCGACAACGACTCGTTTTCCTCTTACCGGCAGCAGCAGAGAAGCTGGACAGAACGAGAACGAAGGAGTAAAGCATTCAGGGCGGGAGGCCCCCAACTCCATGCCACCCCCATTCTGAGTCCCCCAATTTTCCTAAGTCGGGCCCGGTCCATACCTTCATCAATCATGAGGAAGGTCGTATATATACACCGACTTTGTCGATACTCGAAGATAGCGGAGTTCATCAAGTCGAGTTGATGCTTTTCTGTATGAGAAAAGCACAATACGACATTCTTGCGGCAATTCCCACGCTTCCAGATTCTGGCTGGAAAGCTAAAATTTGACACGAAATGGCTCAAGGCAAGCAGAGATGCTCACCCTTTCTCCGTCGAGATAAAGAAAGTGAAGGATTGGTAACTTCCAAACAGTCGTGTCGTCCAGTCTGTCAGATAGTGATGTTAAATTGTCCAACTTTGAGGCCAATATTATGAAACGAATGGGAAAGGACACAGCCAAAAGACCTTATGGGATGGCTACTGCTTATCGCCAATGTCAATAAAGCTTAACCCTACGAATCTACATTTCTCTTCTCGGGTTTTCTTTAATGTCAGCCGTTGTTCAACAAGCTGGTTTCAAAAATCCATGGATCGATTCTGCAGATTCTTTGCAGAACATACACCTTGTTGAGTCGGGATATTCGAACCGCCAACGTGCACCAGCTTTGCTGAACGGAGAATATTCCAAGTGAACAACAATGGGGGTATGAGGCTCGCAATACTAAATCATATCTAGGTATTTATCATTAGAGTGAAACTGTCTGACCATACCATCACAGCCGCCTTATAATCTCGCAAAATCGAGACAACAGGTACCCTAAAATCCTCACGTACAACCGTGCTTGGCTAAACTACATTTTGGGAAACGCCATTCGCAATGACTCGTTCGCTACAATGAGTGTACATAAGTCAACATACGGCGAGAAGAGTACGAGCACGTTTGTCGTGCCACTATGTATCCTCAGGCATCTCTCTTTTCAAACACATAGGCCATTTAAAGGTTATGGAAAATATCCGGGGACGGGCTGTAGCTCAACGGAGAGCGCTTGCGTCTAGAGGCCCACGAGGCCCGGGTTCGACTCCCGGCTGCCCGTCGGATTTTCTTCTTTTTTTGAACCTGTTCCTGGTGTGTACTTGTAGTCCTGACGTTGTATATATACTCTTGTTGCTTATCCTATGCTGTGATTGGCTGTGGTGGACGGGCTAGCCTATTTTGGTATAGTTGGTCTATTAGACACCTCAGGCAGTAACAGCGAGCCCTTGGACATAGAAATATTGGTATGTCTATCCTTTTCAGAATTGGTCAGTGTTAATCCGGAATATGCCCTTGATTCCCTCTTGATGTGAGATTTTGTCGACAAGAAGCAGCTACAGCGTTGTTGGTCATAGAAATCCTGGACAACATTTGAGACCCGGATATTTTTCGTTGCTACATGTGCGATATATATCTGAAGTTTGGATAGCAATCGAACACTCAAAAAGATGTCCAATATTCTCACTCACCGCCCTCAGGGGCTATTTTAAGCACACAATAATCACATATCAATACAATGCCCGCGCATTGAATCAATTGAACCACCCTAATAGAACATAGAGGAGTTATTCAAATGCCTCGCAGGATCCGCCCAAATGAAATCGGTACCGTACACACTACAAGCCAATCCAACTGCTCTCCACCTGCTAACCAACTGAGCAGCACAACTCTGGCTCCGTCTACCAGCACTCAGAAGAGGTGCCACCCCCCCACCAAGTCGTTGGAGAGCAGTAGCACCTTACAGGATCCGATATGAATCAAATGGAGGCAGATCGGATGATGACCAGCAAGAAAGCATCCTGCGCAAATTCCTCGAGACTGGCGCAACGACGCTAGCAGCCCTGCTTATGCTTGGGCTGGGCGGATATGGGTATCAGGAGTACTACAAGAAGCAAGTTCTGCGGAAAATTGACCATGCGTTCGCGGGTGGGCTGTTTTCGTCGCTGGAAGAGGCTGCTTTGGCGCAGTACGGGGATGCTGAGCATATGTTCCGCATTGCAAGACCGGAACAGGGCTTGGTTGATGGTATTATTAGCGGTAACACGAGGGGGAATTACTTCCTGCTCTTCGGGGAGAAAGGGACGGGGAAGTCGTCTATGTTGCTAGCCTCGATGCAGAAGGTCGATGGCGAAGGGGTCGCCATGTTCGAGGCTCACAGTGATAATGAAGTCTTCCGCCTCCGGCTCGGAAAGGCTCTTGATTATGAATACCACGAGGATTACATCGGGGGTCTTTTCAGCGTGAAAGGGCCGCGCGATGCTACACCATTACTAGATATTGAGCGAGCCCTGAATAAGCTAGAGAAAATAGCATTACAGCGCAGAAATGCGAGCCATGGCCGTCGGCCTCTGGTACTGATTATCAGCAATATCCATCATATCTCGGATGATGTGGATGGGCAGCGGCTGCTAGATTTGCTGCAGCAGCGTGCGGAGTTGTGGGCGGCTAGTGGGCTTGTTACGCTTGTTTTCACGAGTGATAAGTATCGCACGACGGAGGCGCTAAGGTTGCATGCTACGCGGATGCAGTTGTTGAATGTACAGGATGTTCCGCGGGATGTCGCGGTTGAGGCTCTGAGGAGGTATCGCGCGGAAACGCGCGGAGAAAGCATGCCGAGTTCTCTACTGGATGAGATATATAGTCGAGTAGGAGGACGACTTATCTTCCTAGACCAGGTCGCAAGATCGAAGAACATGCTCGAGACCGTGCAGTCCATTTGTCAAAGGGAGCAACGTTGGCTTCTCTCGCAATGCTGGATTTTGGGCCGGGATATTGATGACGAAGCTGAGCATCAACAAGATTACTGCGTATGTATATCCCCCAAAGCCGTTTTTTCTGTTTGAGAAATACTAACATTGCATCGTATAGGCCGCCGCAATGACCCTCGCCCAAGCCCTAGTCTCCATGGAAAACAACAACCCGACCCCCTCTTCACTCCCCCGAATCCCCCTCCACAAAGTCCAAGAACTAATGACACGAGCCGACTTTATCCCAAGACTCGACCAACAGAACATCATCGCCATCGACGCCGATGGCATGGTCAGAGCCGACTCAATGCCAATGCAGAATGCGTTCCGGGCAATTTGCAGTCAACCCGGGTTTGACGCGCATTTGGAAGCTACCAATGAGCGGTTAGATGAGTTGGAGAGTTTGGGGCGGACGACGGAGTTGACGGTAAAGGATTTGGTGGGTGGGGAGTATGAGCTGTCGAGTAGGCATGGGGACGGGTTTGTGATTCGGAGGAGGTAGGGTGTATATTTGATGTTAGCATCATACTTGAACGATGTGGGATACCTCATCTCATTTTATACGCTTTATTAAAATGATCCCTCCCAAATTCAAATCAAAATCAATCAACCGCCTGTCTCCCCCTCCTCTCCAACCAAACCCTCAAATCAAAAACCCCCTCCCTCAAATCACCCAAATCCCCCACAAACGTAAAGGTATACCCCAAATCCCTCACCGGCTTCTGACCATCCATATATCTAACAAGACAAGCCTTAGCCCGATACCTCCCCGTCTCATACCCCGCCAACCTCTCCGCATCCCCCACAGTCCGCACATGATAAACAACATCCTCAACAACCTCCCCACGCGCATCAATTAGCGCTGGATACTGGGCCCATAGTTTTGTTTAGTATCCCATGATATGCGCGGGGCAGAGTGTTGGTTCGTGGTCTAGGTTGAGGATTTCGGCGAGGAGGGACGGGTCGCTGAGGGTGCCGTAGAAGAAGTAGGGGCCTGTGGGGGCTGCGAAGAGGTCGATTGGTGGGAAGGCGTTGGGGGGTTGGAGGAAGTAATCGGGAGGAGCGCTTCTCAACTTCAAAACAAATGGAGATATCTTGGAGGGCGGCTGTGGGGGGTACGTCTCCTCTTTTTCTTGAAGAGTAGACATGGTAGTAGTGTTGAAATCAAGTTTCCTTAGCAGGGTTCTGGAGAAGGAGAGACGAGGATCTTGAAGGATGATGAAAGTAGGACTGTCGGCAAAAGTAGAGAACACTGGCAACCAGTTCTTGCGATCATTCACTGAAACAGTCATACCATCGAGAATAACGTACGGATCAAACCTTGAAATATCATGTATTCTATTAATAAATATGCTCTCCTAAATCGCTCACAAATGGGCTACCCTGGAACACAAAATAACACACAAAAACCCCCGAATAAGAAAACAGATCAACACTTCAGCCTAACCCCAGCCCTCAACTCCTCCTCTCTAATCTCAAACATAACCTGCACACCCACAAACAATGCCCCACAAGCAGCCACCAAATACACCAACCCAGAATACGACCCCATAATCCCCTCCAAAAGCCCCTTCATCCCATCAATCCCCACCGCAAACCCAACCAGATTTGCAACCATCATCATGAGGATATTACCCACGGCGCCAACGCCGCAAATCACACGGTAAGTATTTGGACGAGAGCGCCAGCGGCTTGCCGGGAAAGACAGCGTAGCGAGGACTTCGGGGAGGACGAAGAGGGTGATTAGCCAGCCCCACATTAGGAGGCGGAGGTTGATGTCGTGCCAGAGGGCGACGAAGGTGAAGACTACGAGGAAGTTGAAGATGCGCTGGGCTTTGGATTTGAAGCCGCTGCTTGCGGCGCTGTTAGGGTTGCGGTTGTCTTTGTTGGTGCCGCCGCCACTGCCGCCGCCACCGCCGCCGAGGGGGACGTAGAGGTAGCGGACGATCCAGCGGTTGAAGGAGCGGTGCCAGGCGCGCCAGAAAGCGAAGGCGGAGTAGTTGTTGGATACGCAGCGGGTCATGTTCTCGGGAGGGTCGATGCCGTCTATCAGCGCCCAGAGACGGAAGAAGCGCCAGGGGATGAGCAGTTTCAGCCAGATGATGTGCAGGTTGAAGTAAGCCATCATGCTGAGTTGGGCGGGAGTGTAGAGAGACCAGTTCGGGGAGGCTTTGGAGATAGCCACGACATAGATGAAGTGTAGGATAAGTTCCATGCTGAGCAGGGTGAGGAGGAAGCGAGTTCCGTAGAGGATGGTACGAGTACGCGTGAGAGATGGAGGTGTGTAGCGCTGTTGGGAGATGTAGTCATTGAAGGTTATGATGGGACCCGTTAGGTATAATGGCGAATAAAGGGAGTATGCGACGTAGTTGCGGGCATTGAATGCGGAGGGGCCCGCGGGGATGTTGACACGGTCTCGCTCGGAGAGGGTTGACGGATCGAGCTGCTTCTTCTTATGTCTGTTAGACAATAATTCAGGATCCTTGGAAGCCAAATGGACCTACTTCGACTGGGCTGGTGGACGAATAGTCCAGACTCCAATAGTAGTCCATATTGAAACTGATCAACCGCAAAACCGTGATATTGAAAAGAATCTCCCATCGCGGCATCAATCCACCCAAGCTATCCAAGGACTGAGCCCACATCACGAAGGCCGGCTCACTCCCTTCCGCGACTCCAGAGCCCGCGAACAACCTAGCAAAGCGTTCAAGGGGATATCCACCGCAGAGCTCATTCGCAAACAGCGTACAAATGTTGAATATCCAAGTCGCAGCGGGAATCTGTGCCCTGGGAAGGCACCTAGCGATCTTATAGTTCACGTACAGAATCGCGAGAACCTTAATAGCAGATATACCGTGTAAAACCGTTATGAACACCAGAGCGAAGAAGTAGTCGAATCGTATCCGCTGCTCCATACGAGCATCTCCAGCGGCAGCGGTGGTATTTTGGTAGCCATCGCGGTTGGCATCAGAGCGACGCAAGTAGGCTTCGTATACACGGCGGAGCAATGGGTGGAGGACTAGAAGGAGGAGGAGGTAGGGTATGTTTTCGCGGAAGCTCGCATACTGTGCGTCGGAGTTGTCCTATTCGCGCGACTGTTAGCAGGAGGAGGCCCTGAGCTTGGTAGGTCGCAAATATCACCCACCACATTGCGACCCGGTATCCAACCGGGCTCCAGTAAATGCGAATAAGTCGAGTAAGTTGGATGGCTTTCTATAATCCCCAATCAGCACCCTCAACCTCCGTTCGACTGCAAAAGACAAGACCTACTCCTAGAAACATCCACCACAGTCTTAAACATCAACGGCACACAGACGAGAAACACCGCATAATAGACATAAAACTCCGGCGTGCGCCACTTGGCCGGCGGAGCACTGCTGGCAATGGCATTTGCGCGGGCATCTTTGCTCGAAGCAGATCGCGTGTCCGCAGTGGCCTTGAGAGGAGTGGTGGCGGATGTGGTGAAGCGAGTGTCGAGGGTATCGAGGGAGTAGATTCGTCGGAACCAGGGGAGGAGAGAAGTCATCTTAGCACCAGCATCGCGCTTGCATCTCCCGTGGAAAAGCGTCGAGAGATGGTGGTTTTGATAATGGATTATCGTTCGGTTCGGAGATCAGGGGCGGAGGACAGCTATCCAATCAGGGTGGTTGTTTATGAACCCTTTGTCCTACGCTTATTGATATTGTTGTATTAAGATGCAATTGATTAATTATGCTAGAATATATCAAAGTACGTATGAATATTAATCCAAGCAGGGAAAGAGGGCAGTTCTTGGGGATCAATTGACTCGTAACTAGCTATTTTAAGCAATGGTGCCTCAGGCATTAATGACTAAGCGGGACATCAATTGAGATGATATCACGAGCATCAAAAGCATTCTCAACGAGATACTGAATTGAAAGATACCCAGCTGCACACATAACCACCATGTCTGCTCAACGAGTATGTCTCCCGTGCTGTCTCCGTGATCTGATATCCTATCAATGCCCCTTCACAATGGCATCTATGCTAACCGAAACATGCTATGAAGATTGCATACAAAGTCCACGGCACAGTTCAAGGCAAGCATCTGTCCATGTGATACAATTCTCATTTACTCCGAGCAGTCGTATTGATAGGAGTACTGTACAGGTGTCGGATACCGGTGCGTTATCTATGTTTAGCTACACGGCCCCCAATTCAATGCGCCGCATCTGCTAACGATGATCAGTGACTACACACAAAGACGCGCCGCTGAATTCGGCCTCAAGGGCTGGGTGAAGAACACCTCTGACGGGCTGGTTTGTCTGCCCCATCCTTATCATCTTCTTACCCGAGCCATTATCGTCAACAACATACATACGGCCCCAACTGCATACACAGCCTGCATATACTAAAAATTCACAGGTCGAAGGCGAAGCCCAAGGCGATCAGAACTCCGTACAGAAACTCATCCAGGAACTAGGCAAGGGGCCTCGTCTGGCACATGTGACAAAGCTGCAGAAGAAGGATATCACGCCTGAAGAGGGGGAGAATCACTATGCTGTGAGACAGACGTCGGATTCGGTAGTTAGTTTTGATTAGCTTTGATGCTCTAGTAGAGTCTGTGAAATGATCAATGGAGCATTATGAATCATGTGAGCACGTTCGTATAGTTACGAGGAGGTGTGTTAGCAATGCTGTACATGATAAGACATTCTCCCAATGACGCAACCGCTTCCCACATGAAACCCGTCATCGCCGTCAAGAAGCCCGTGTCTTCACAGGCATCAAAACAACCATCTAGAAAGCCCTCGTATCTGTACATTGAACGCCGACTTATTTTCGCAACCCCAAAGAGACAACCAAACTGACTCATATCTTCTCACCCCGATCCAACCCGAGCAAAGTCACATGGCCACCCGCCCTGGTAAAAATACCGTAATATCTTGTAATCCCGTGACAACCACGACAAAACGCCGAGTACAGCAGTCACTCTTCAGCAATGCAGAAACATAATGGGGAGGAAATTCGACGCGCTTCCAGTTCGTATGATGATCACTATGCAATCTTGATATGGGAATAAGGTAGTTGGGTGCTATTTATGGGGGCAGAGTGGTTGTGGGATTAAGGTGGGAATATGACGTTCGTTGTAAGTTCGCCGTAAGTTCTGGACTTTCGGTCTTCGATCCCGGTTTTTCTTCTCCAAAAGGGGACCAAACCAAACGGGATTTGGTATACGGTCAGCCAAATGAGGGTGAATTGGTAGGGGATGACTGAGAAGATTTTTCAGGATTCGCCTTTGGCATTCCGGTTTTTGCCTTGTTGTGTCTATGTTTGGGTAGGCTTGTGTAAATATAAATGGGCCTGGTCTGGATAGTTGTAGCATGATTCTCGCATCAAGCATCAGGAGATCTCAAGATTTCTTTACTACATTTTGCATATTATCAATATGATGAATTCGTTAATAGCAACGGCGCCTACTCGGGTTGCCGCATTCCCCAAGCCATACCTGCGTCTTGCTGTCCGGAGCTATACAAATGTTGCCGCTACAACGGGGTTGCGAAATGCCCCATTGGCAGCCAATAAGGTCCAACAGCAGACACACGGAAAGAGAGTCATCTCGTCCACGCCAAACAACACTCAGGAATATTTCCCTCCGCCAAAGGCATCTCATATCCAGGAGGTAGATTCCTCGTGGTCGCACCCAGTGTAAGTGTTCCTGTCTTTGCTCTCCAACAGATGATGACAGTATGCTGACTTCTCAGATATACCTATGACGAGATGAACAAGGTTACCGTCGCCCATCGGGACGCCAAAGACTGGGCCGACTGGGTGGCGCTCGGAACTGTCCGTCTCATGCGATGGGGAATGGACTTTGTAACGGGATATCGACATCCCGGGCTGGGCGAAGAGAACCTCCCCAAATTCAAAATGACAGAGAGAAAGTGGCTCACGCGGTTTGTTTTCTTGGAAAGCGTGGCTGGTGTCCCGGGAATTGTGGGAGGCATGTTGAGACACTTGAGGAGTCTGCGACGGATGAAGAGAGATAATGGATGGTGAGTCTTCTACCTACCCGGATTAATGATAGACATTCTGACATGTACAGGATCGAAACCCTTCTCGAAGAAGCACACAACGAACGCATGCACCTTCTCACGTTCCTGAAACTCGCCGAACCCGGCATGTTCATGCGTCTAATGGTCCTCGGAGCCCAGGGCGTGTTTTTCAACGGATTCTTCATCTCCTACCTCATCTCCCCACGCATCTGTCACCGATTCGTCGGCTACCTCGAAGAAGAAGCCGTCGTCACATATTCCCGGGCCGTTAAAGAGATCGAGATGGGAGCACTTCCAGATTGGGCGCAGATGGAGGCACCCGAAATTGCGGTTCAATATTGGAAAATGCCCGAGGGCCATCGCACCATGCGGGACCTGTTACTGTACGTGCGGGCCGACGAGGCCAAGCACAGGGAGGTGAACCACACACTGGGGAACCTCAATCAGGGAGCGGATCCGAACCCGTATACGTCCATGTATAAGGATTCCAACAAAGCACATCCGAGCAAGGGGATTGATAAGTTGAAGCCGACTGGATGGGAGAGGGAAGAGGTTATTTAGATATTCATTTGGGTGTCCACTTGTATAGTAGATGGCGTTTTTATTAGAGTGGTTCTTGTGGATTCAGCGGATATTACGGAGTTATGGGGTTGGGTCGCATTAGTGGTCAATGTATTAGCATCTCCCCTTGTCCTTTCTTGGTCGTTTTGTTTCCTCTACTTATCCTCGTCCTTTTTATTAATCTGCTGCATTGAAATGCATCCATCAATTTTCTTCTACCTGTGTGAAATTGTGACTGGTGTTCGAGCTACAAGCCCTATCCGCGACCAGTGAACTCTCGTGTAATGAAAGGCGCGCAAATCACCTGTCTGACCGAATTGCTTAACCATGACGACTCCACAGCAATCCCCTTTCGCGAACGAAGAATACACAGTTAGATGGATATGCGCTCTGCCCACTTGATGGGGCATCCCACTGTGGGCGAGCTTGAAGAAGCTCTCAAGTTTGCCCCATGTACAAGCCGGATTGGGAGCAGCTTAAGATCAAGCCATCAAAATAATCGAGTCTCAGCATGAATCATGCTACCAAATGGCAGTTAAGACTCTTTCTTGGCTGACCTACTGCAGGAGAGCACTTTCTGCCGAAAAGCTCAACATGCGCTTGCACTCGGCATGGCACAAAAGACTTGGATCTGAAGTTCTTGCCTGCTCTTGACATTATTGATTCGTTGTGCGCTGGTTTGGATTATTATTATTAATGTTTTTTTTTTTTTTTTTTTTTTTTTATATATCAGAACACCAGAATATTTCGCTTGGTTCATTGTACGACGAAGGAGTATCTGATGGAAAACTACGCGTTCCGGAATGCAGAGTGGGATTTCAGATTTGAGTTATCAGACGCCTTTGTTTTTCGCCTCTGGGGATGGAGATGATGGCTTGGTCAGGTCGTTACTGGAACACGGTGCGAACCCGAATCACAAGGACAGATTTGGGGATAGGCCCATCTGTTGGGTAGCCGCACAAGGATACGAAGCGATTGTGAAGATGCTTCTTGACAGCGGCGTAATGCAAGCTATTATGGGAAACCAAACCAGGCACCATTGCTCTGGGAATTTGGAACACCCGATAGCCCAAATTACGATATATTAAGGCGAAATAGGGAGTGCCACGACTATGTGGTAGGAGATACACAAGCAGTGGTGAGCTTGTTGCTTCGGTATGGCGCAGATCCAAACATCATGGATGATAAAGGGCGAGGAATATTGCTCTTGGTAGTGGAACATGGGTTTAACTCGAAGGCACTAGTGACGCAGCTACTGAAGGCCGGAAGCAATCCCAATGCAAGGAACAAAAACGGTCGCACGCCCTTAATGGATGCTACGGTCCGAGGAATGGGCCAAGTTGTGAAAGCACTTCTTGAGGCTCCAAATATTGAGCGAGATGCAAGTGATATCTTTGGTCGTACAGCTCTCATGGAGGCTACTAGGAGACGCAAACCTCGTCTTGTAAAGCTTTTATCCCAAGGCTACGAAGAGGCTTTATCAATCGATTTCTCCGACGACGACCATGAGTTCGAGGATGAAGGTGACCTCATCTGTGATATATGTGGGACTTGGGCTTTTCGCGAAGATGCTTACCACTGCTCGATCTGCGACAATGACAACTTTGACATTTGTGATGACTGATGAGTGCAAAAAATGGGGTGCGATCTGTCTGGATGATACGCACCAGATGATCAAGCGATAAAAGACAATGATACTAGGACAACACCGCCTAGAGGAAGGATATTAATCAGGCATTTGACTTGGACAGGTGTCTTGTACTATTTTGATTATAGTGGTTCTGTGGGTTCAGCGTCGGATGTCACGGAGTTAGGTCTAGAAACTTGTACACTAGTTATGCATGACATTAGCATCTCTTCTCTCGACCATGACGCATTGTGACCATGTTTATTCCTCAGGATGATGATGCATTCCGGTACATAAGGACTACAGATGATCACGGGATGATCCGCACTCGAAATCCGACGGAACGCGGGGCAATTCAGGTACCGGTACACTAGCATGAAAGAGGAAAAGTGTCAACGCGTACCATACACTTGTACCTCGACTGGTAGAATTGGTGGAGTGGTACCTTACCATGATACACGTTTATGACACTTCATCAGGGGCACAATTCTTACGTAGCACTACTACGGAGTAATGCTGTCATTCAGGCCATTATTACCGATCTATTAATATTTAATTAGGACCCCAAGACAAGGCGTTTTGCACCGGCCCCTCGGCCCTTCATCACACTCGACCCGCATCTGACCCCCCCCTTTTAGTTAGTCTACTCCGTCGAGGAACTCACTTTTTTTTCTTTCTCTTTCCCCCTTTCGAACCTCTTTCAATTGATCATCCTCATTGTCACCTCTTATCCCTATTACTATTGGTATTATTACCTATATAGCCTGACTCGCTCGGTATTACTGCTCCATATAACCTAAACCGTTGCCGAAATTGGCCGTGGGTTCATTATATTGCGCCTGTTAATAATCTTGTACCACCACCGCAACCTATCACCAGCACACGACATCTGGCCTCTCCATACGATACACCTCTCCCACTTGGATTCTCAAGTCGACTTGATTCTGGTATCGACACAATGGACGAGTCAACCGACATAGAGCCCTTCCCGGTCCTCGCGAGGCCTGGATCGCCCTCGCCCGACATCCTCCCCACGCCCGCTATCTCGTCCTGCCCGTCTCCAGATCGCACCTTTTCCACCGTTTCGTCGCATTCGGCCTCGTCTGCTACCTCCGCTGTCTCCGTGGGATCCAGGAGACGCGGGTATATCCGTCCGCAAGGTGCCGAATTCGCCGACTCCGCCAAACATCGCGAGAGTGTTATGAGTTTAGGCAGTATCGCTCACCTGCAGTATTATTTCGCTCGAACGGGATTGTTGGATGGTAAAGGTGGCCAGGCGCGCGAGTTCAAGAAGAAAAAGAAGATGCCCGATGGTACGCCCAGGTTGTTGTTGACGCCCAATGCCCGGTATATTCCTGATGATTTGTCGGAGAGTCCCACCGACGACGAATCTTTCGAACCGACCGAGGATGGCTTCGACGACGATGGCGAAGTCATGCTCCCACCAACCGTGAGCACATATAGTATCAAAACCTACCATATTCCGCCTCCACCCGATCTACCGGCCTTGCGAAAAGACTTGCTGGATGCTGTGGAAAGAGCGGAGAGAGAAATTGAGGATATTGGGTCGCAGAAAGAACCTCCTCCCGGTTTCAACCCTCCACGGATCAGTCTCTCCCCCGATGTAGACTCGGAGGATGAATCGCGCCACGAGCCTCCGTTTCCAAGACCACAAGCGTGGCATGAAATCCAAGGAATGCGCATCTTGGACGTGGTCACTCTGGCGATCCGTGCTGCTAGGATCTATTACACGGCCCACGAGCGCCCAGAACTTCTAGCAACGGTCAAGAGCGAACGAGAGATTCGACAAGCGCTGTTTCATGTTCTTGAGCTTCTCAAGCGCTGGGCCTCTCGCAACTTCTCTGGTGGACTGCGCGAGGACGAGCGCACAGCAATCATGGGTTGGATGTCCGATGTGCGCGCCATGCTGGCCCGAGAGCGTGAACTAGAAGACGCAGAAACCAAAGAACGTGAAAGCTGGACTTGGGCTCATGGCGACTGGACCGGTAGGGAAGGGGAGCGCGAAGAAGCCTTCCTCCGCAGCTTGATGGGGACTGACACTTCGTTGCCGACTTGGACTTCGACTGACGGCGCCTCCCTCCCGACACCCTTATTGGAGCGGCTCCGCGACGGTCGTGACCTCGTCCGTATGCACAACCGGGCCATCAAGAAATCGAAACGTCCTTTTTGCGAGATCAAGTCGTACCACCAAGACATTGGCAAGCCGTACCGCTGTGCCGAAAACCTGCGCTTCTGGCTCAAGGCAGCAGAAATCCGATTCGAGGCGAAGCTGGAGATGGACGTCTTGGGCGTGGTATACGGCAGCAGCGACGAAGCATGGCAGCAATTCAATTCGACGCTGCTTTCATGGTGCAAAATCGTGCGGGAGGAACTGACGCGCGACTGGTGGCCGCCATCGGGCGAGAACACCATCACCACCACCACGGTATATCCCAACTAATTTGCATGATATGTTATTTTGATTTCCGTTTGATGTGCCTTGAAAGAGGCGTAATTTTTTTTTTTTTTTTTTTTTTTTTTTTTTTTTTTTTTTTTTTTTTTTTTTTTTTTTT